CGCGGAGTAAGATGACGCACGCGACGCGCTGTAGAGCAACGTAGCTCTTGAACGAAAGCAGCTCGCAAGATTGGCCAGTTGCGTTGGAATCGCTGGAATACAATCCCTTTTAATTGATAGCTCGGTCGAAAGGGGACAATAGTCACGTGCGCGAGGTCCACGCATCTTCGCTGGTCTAGCAGCGATACAACTGAACAGTAGAGAGTCATGATTGGCCTTCAGGAATCCTTCCATTGCGGCAGTCGACCGATGGATTTGACCGATTCTCCGACGCATGTCTGCGTAATCTGGCCATTATGCAGCATTGTCTACGCGGTCTACGGTGTAGATCGCCACTTTCATTATGCATCGCCGGTGGTAGCTTGCTTGCTTCTGCAAGGTGAGAGACGCCAAGGAAAGAATGAGTTTAGCCGGCGACAGCGAGTCGATATTTTTCTCACGCCGCGCCGGCGCGGCTCAATCGACAGCTGGCCTCTTCCGGATTGCTGAGAATTTGAGAATCTGAGAATCGTATACTCCCTCGTCTCGCTTTTGTGCACGGGCTTTTCGTTTCTTCCGTTTTTCAACAAGTCGGCGGCAAGAGATCGCGAGCAGTTTCGAAAGCCCATTGCTGATTGGTTTTGCAAATGAAAGTTTTCGACGGGTGTTCCGTTGCTCGCGGACGACAAATGCAAAAAGTTAATCGCATGAAAGCACGCGCCCACGTGGGAACGAGCCGAGCAATGTCTCGGGCGCATGCTTCTTCTTTGGAATAAAGCTGAGAAAAAGGAGAAGCAGAAGAAGGAGCGCTCGAACGCGCACGCTTGCGGGCTTGATCGTGCCGTGATTCCGCGATCGTTCGGCCGCGCACCGCCAGCAGCAGCAGCACCACCACCACCACCACCACCAGCAGCAGCAGCAGCAGCAGCAGCAGCAGCAGCAGCTCGGTCGATTCCGATTTCAGCGAAGCTTCCGATGGACTTTGCTCGCTTGCGCTCCAATCGGTCGATCGACGGGTCATCCCCGACTCGGAAGCTGCCACGCCACTCGTCTCGAGGGCCAGCGAGCCGTGGACCGTTTGAGCGTTTACGTGGAAAAGCCAGCGGCGGCGAACGTCTGGCGGAACAGGGCCTTTCGCCTATGGCTATCGATGGACTAGACGGACAATAGGGCCAAGCTCGACAAAAGGCGGCTTTCGCTGTTGCCTCTTTTCTTTCTCTCTTTTCGCGTTCGCGCCTGCGCAGCTGGTGCGCCCGAGGAGCAGCGGCAGCGCTTAACGAGATTCTTACCAAGTTCTTCGGCTGCATTCCTGCTTTCGTTCCTTCGGTCGGCTTGGCTGCACTCTTCTCCACTCCGCCTCTCTCTTCTCATTTCTTATCGAGATCATTAAGTCCGATAGCCCAACGTCGTGCGGTTTTTCCCTCGGCAATTTCACACGTGCAACGATGCGCGCCGTCACTCTTCAGCTTTATCCTCGCAGCATCATTCGCCAAGTCATTTCTATTAATTCGTTGATAAGCTCTGCGAAGTGCTCCTAGCGCGATCCATAGCGAGGCAACGCGAGCTAATTGCACTCGGCTCTCGCTCGAAATTCATCTACATTCATGAAGTCGGCCAATTTGCAGGCAGACAGCGAGGAGCTGAATAGCAATGATGTTTCGAGCGCCGATTGCGCGTAGAGGTGAATTTTGAAAAGGCCGGCTTTGGAGACTGGAATAATGGAGCCGAGCAGAGAGAACAGAACGTGTGCATTCAATTTTCTTGTCCGCGTAATCGCTGGGTCGGTCCGTCAATTTACACCCACGAGGAGGCGAGCGAGGCGACGCAAAACGACGAAGGACGGCCTTGGGGTTGCGCTTTATAATCGCGCGCGCCGCCCTTATACGCGAGCGCTTGCGGCAGCTCGAGCGAGCCAAACGGTCAATTGCCTTTCTCGATTTGAGAGCGCTTTTAAACCTTTGGGATCGCCTCTAGTCCTCTCTCCCGCCGCGTCTCATCAGCTCAACCATTCCGAGTCGAGTCGAATTATATTCAATCTGAAAGTAGAGGCCGTCGCAATCAAGTGTTAGGCTTGAAAAGTGAGCCGGAGAAAGAAGGCTGAAGGACGAAACGAGTAGCTGGCAGGAGGAGAGCGAAGCCACGCGAATCGCGCGAGCAGCGAGAAAAAAGGAGGGAACAAAGCGCATTCCGCCAGGCGTCATTTGTCCCTTGCAGCAGCTCCCTTGGCCCTTTGCTCGTCTCGCGAGACTCCTAAGACTCGTACGACTCGCCGACGCTTCACCTGCACGCGACGCGGCTCTGTTGTACCCGCTTGATGCACGGCCAGTCACCGTTTACTTGACTAGTCAAGGCCGACGGTGAATCTTGTCTCGCACTCAAACTCTCCTACAAGATTGCAAAGAGCCTCGGCTTTGTCGGCTTATTACGTCGCGCCGTGTGCTATCATTGGCGGCTGCCGATGGCCGCGCTCCTTTCAAATATGCAGGGCCACCTAATCCGGAAAACTGACACTTTTATTGTTTCCCACTCGCGAGCTCTTCCTTCAATTATTGTTTTTGCCTCCTCCGTCGTTCCTCAATTTCTTTTTCCTGCTCGCTCGGCTTCTTCCTTTTTTTCTTTCGTTTCGACCGACCGATCCTTTTTTGAACGGCGACGATGATACACCTATACCCAACGTTTATTTCGCGCCTTTACGACGCGAAACCTCTCATTTAATGGGTTCGCTGCCCCCCCCCCCCCCGCCCCCTCTCTCTCGCTACGCGTGCTTTGAGGTCAGCTCGGAGCACGGAACTGAAATAAGCACCTACAAGCTCTCGGAACTAGATTTTAGCCGAAGAGCATGCTGCAGAGCCATGCGACGGATTTGACTGGTCTGGTTGTATCGATAAAATGGGATATTGCAATGCTCGCGCCTGCTAATAGGGCCTTAAAGTGCCACATGAAATTGAAAGGCCGATCACGCGAGAGAAAATGTTTTAGCAAAGAGACCGGCCGGTTTCAACAATTAGTCGGTATATTTTTTCTTTCTCTGGAGAAGTCACGGCGCCTTTGGCGGTCGGCTGCGCGCGAAAGAGGTGCTATATCTACTTTGACGGGTTTCGCACCGAAAATTTTATGACAGTCTTATGGGTTCGCATAAATAAGAGGATTGACGGCAGTGTCGGCGAGGCTTTTACGAGACTACGTAGAACTGCAGATGGTTTAATATCAAAATTGAGGTGGATCGGCTCGCTGTCGTCGGATCCGAGCCAGGCAAAAGACAATGGGCCACTTAGCCAACACTCGAAATGGAAAAAATCGAAATGACTCGGGGCCGGCGTGGAGCGACCTGTTTTCTCGGTCGAACACGGCACTGGCACATGCCGGCAGACGTGGCGAGCCGCGCGCTGACGTCTGAAGAATATACGGCTCTCTGAGGCCCGCGGGTCCGCGGAGAACCGTGTGATTATGCCGCGGAGCGTGGCTAATTGCGCGGTGATTCGGCGAGCAACGCCCGAATCGACTGCTGCGAGCCGCGGCCAGCCGCGCGCCTGCCGAAACGTGTAAACAGCCGCTCCTTTTTTACGCTCAGCTCGGCAATACGCGCCGGAGAGAAAAATTGCTCACGCTGGAATTATGGAACATTCGGCCCTTTTTGCTCGCTCACCTTTCTTTTTGCTCTCTCTCTCTCTCTCTCTTCCACGGGCCATTTTGTCTTCGCTTTATGAGGATATTGTGAGCCTGCGCGATGTCCGTCTATAATGATGATTGAGCTTTTTCCAGTCTTAATCATTCAGCTTTACGACCGTATTTGCCCGCCGAGATGCACTTTATCCCAAACGAGTTTCACATATACACTCCTCAGCTGCCAATCTAACGGTTCATCCTTCTTCTTTTCAACGAACCTTGTGAAATCACTTTTCACTGACATTTTACTTGGTTTTTTCGATAAACACGTAGGCGCCGTTAACTGGACACTGGATACAGCAAACTCCTCCTCTGCACATCAAATCTCCTCGAGTCTCGACATTTTAATTATTGGCATAATTCAACTCTGTCGGTACCCGCTAAAGTCACAAATTAACATTCGTTGTTTTCGAGGAGCAATTTTTAAGACAAAAATGCTTTTAATCCGTAAAGCTGGAATGTCTTTAATGACATAGCCGAGAGATGGCTGTAGCGATCTGTAAGGACGACAGCTTACCGCCACTCTTCTGGCCCGTCACTTACACTAATAGCAGCGATGACCGAGCACCGAAGGAAAAGAGGACCTACTCCACGACAGCCAGCTTCTGATGGCACGCACAAGCAGTCACGAATAAAACGTGGCTAGTTGTTTTTCTCCTTAAAGAGGCCTTTATCAATGGGCGATTTGGATCTCGGTTATCAGTTCTCTTGCGACTGCCCATTTCAACAATTCAACAACGCCATCAGCCAAAAAATGGATAGCGATTCTTGACCAAAGCCCCTAGCGACGACAACCGGCCTGACGCATTCCAGCACTACCGAAATCGCGTTCTAGTCTCCTTCGCCCCCCCCCCCCCCCGCCCAGCACACCGATTCCCATAAAGCCTCTTGCTTTCATTGTCCCTGCGAAATACATCTGCGAATGAATTTCAATACATTTTATGTTAACAACTTGCTCACCTATCGACACAAACCACCAGTTTGGTAAAAAACAGTTTGTAATAAACATCGCAGTCGTTATTTGTCAATTACGATTCGTTGCGAGAGCAGCTCTTATGGAAGTGGTTCGCCCACCTGAATCATAGACATTGTGAAGCTATAGCCATGTGACTATGTAGTCGCGTGCGCTTGCGCTTGTATTACATCTACGGAGAGCGTTGGCTTTCTATTTATGACTTTATCCATGAGCTTCGTGGTACCTGTAGATTTATCGCCATCAGACTTTAATATTAATTTCACATTGTTGGATAGCTGTCTTTCGTCTATCGCGATGAGGTATCGTTGAAGCGATTGTTCCAATTACTTGGACTTGCGTACGATAGATGCTGTAATCGAAAGGTGTCGTTGTGTTGCAGTATGCATTGGAACCAATGGACGACTGTCGGTGCCGTCCAACAAGGAGCACCACTATCGCAACCTTCGCGACAGGTACACCAACTGTACCTACGTGGACGGCAACCTGGAGATCACCTGGCTGCAGAGCGACACGTTCGACCTGAGCTTCCTGCGTAACATCCGCGAGGTCACGGGTTACGTGCTCATCACCCACGTGGACGTGCCCAAGATCGTGCTGCCCAGGCTCCAGATCATTCGCGGCCGCACCCTGTTCAAGCTGCAAATCCACAACGACGAGTTCGCCCTGTTCGTCACCATGTGCCAGATGTTCAACCTAGAGATGCCCGCCCTGCGAGGTGAGTGCGAGTGCTCGGAAGTCCCGGGGGGCCGCGTAACTCCGTCGTAACCGCGTTGTATCCGGCCGCAGACATCCTGAACGGCAGCGTGGGCGTCTACAACAACTACAATCTGTGCCATATAAAGACGATCAACTGGGACGAGATAATCACGGGCCAGGGTCGCAAGTACACCTTCAAGTACAACTTCACGTCTCCGGAGCGCGTCTGTCCGGAGTGCGACCAGAGCTGCGAGCAGGGCTGCTGGGGCGACGGCCCGCAAAACTGCCAGCGCTTCAGCAAGACCAACTGCTCGCCGCAGTGCTGGCAGGGACGGTGCTTCGGGCCGAACCCCCGCGAGTGCTGCCACCTGTTCTGCGCGGGCGGCTGCACCGGCCCCAAGCAGAGCGACTGCCTGGCCTGCCGCAACTTCTACGACGACGGCGTCTGCACGCAGGAGTGCCCGCCCATGCAGAAGTACAACCCGACGAGCTACTCGTGGGAGCCTAACCCCGACGGCAAGTACGCCTACGGGGCGACCTGCGTGCGCAAGTGCCCGGAGCACCTGCTCAAGGACAACGGGGCGTGCGTGCGCTCCTGCCCGCCCAAGAAGAAGGCGCTCAAGGGCGAGTGCGTGCCCTGCGAGGGGCCCTGCCCCAAGACCTGCCCCGGCGCCGTCGAGGGCGTCAACTCGCTCAACATCGACATGTTCAAGGACTGCACCATAATCGAGGGCTCGCTCAGCATCCTCGACACCAGCTTCAAGGGCTACCAGGTCTACTCCAACTTCACGTTCGGGCCGCGCATCGAGCCCATGCACCCCGACCGCCTCGAGGTCTTCAGCACCCTCAAGGAGATCACCGGCTACCTCAACGTCCAGGCCGACCACCCCGACTTCCGCAACCTCTCCTACTTCCGCAACCTCGAGATCATCGGCGGGCGCACCCTCACCGAGTACTTCTCCACCCTGTACATCGTCAGGACTTCGCTCGTCTCGCTGGACTTGCGCTCGCTCAAGACCATCAGCTCCGGCTCCGTCTCGATTCTCGAGAACAAGCACCTCTGCTACGCCGACTCCATTAAGTGGGACACCATTAGGAGGTCCGTCGAGCACGGCACCCTCTTTTCGAACAACAGGAACGAAACCGAGTGTCGTAAGTAGACCGCAGCCCCGCGACACCAGTCTCTCTCTCTCTCGCTCTCTCGCTCTCTCGCTCTCTCACTCTCTCACTCTCTCACTCTCTCCCAACAGTCATCGAGGGCCTCGTCTGCGACGAGCAGTGCTCCGCGAGCGGCTGCTGGGGCCCTGGCGCTGACCAGTGCCTGTCCTGCAAAAACTTCATGCTCGGAAACGTCTGCGTCAAGGACTGCAATTCGCCTGGGTGAGTCCGCGCGCGGGAATACGATTTTGAGCACTGCACCGCGCGTCGTCACTTCGACCGAGCAACCCCTCTGACGATTTGTCTGCGCCTTTTGCTCTCCAGAATCTACCAGGCCGAGGACAACAAATGCAAGCCCTGCCACGAGGAGTGCAACGGCACCTGCACCGGTCCCAATCCCGAGCACTGCGTCGCCTGCAAGAACGTCCGCGACGGGCCCTACTGCGTTCCCCAATGTCCCACCTCGAAATACAACGACGACGGACAATGCAGACCCTGCCACGAAAACTGCGTCGGTGGCTGCGAGGGGCCCGAAAACAACATCGGTGAAAACGGCTGCCACAGCTGCGAGAAGGCCATCATGAACGGCAAACACGTGCCCGACGGATGCTTGCAGAAGAAGGACCCTTGTCCAGACGGTACGTCTTGTCTTGGATATTCGTTTGGCAGAGCGGTGCATACTCTGGTGCATAGGCTGAGCTACGATCGGTCCTGTTATCTCGCTAGGCCATTACTTTGAATGGATAAGCCCGCAAGAGCAGGGAGCGCTGAAGCCACTGGCCGGAAAGGCAGTTTGCCGCAAGTGCCACGCCAATTGCAAAAGGTGCACCAACTTCGGTACCCACCAGCAGGTCTGTCAGCAGTGCGTCAAGTACAAACGCGGCGAGCACTGCGACGAAGTTTGTCCGGACGATCACTTCGTCGAGGCCGACACCAATAACTGCGTTCCCTGCTACAAGGAGTGTCGCGAGTGCTACGGACCGGGGCCCCACGAGTGCTACAGCTGTCGGAATCTCAAGCTGTTCGCGGTCAGTCTCGCTACCTTACACTTACACTTCGTTTCACTCTTATTCTCATATTTTTCTAAGTGTCCTTGCTGATCCGCAGGAGGGCGGCAATCCGTTCGACAATACCACGGCTTTTAACTGCACGGAGGCCTGTCCGCCCGAGTACCCCCACAAGGTGTTCACGCAGGAAGACAGTGATTTGTACTGCTCGGAAAATCCGGTCGGCTTCGGACTCACTTACGACTCGGATCTGCAACCCGCACTTATTGGCGGCGCCGGGATCGCCATGTTCATCGTGTTCTGCATCTTGGCGGGACTGTTCTACCATTGCCGAATGAAAGTGAAGGTGAAGGAGAGCGCCGTGAAAATGACGATGGCCATGACCGGGCTGGACGACAACGAGCCGCTGAGGCCGACGGGCATCAAGCCCAATTTGGCCAAGCTGCGCATCATCAAGGAGGAGGACATGCGCAAAGGCGGAATTCTGGGCCGCGGTGCCTTCGGCAACGTGTACAAGGGCGTGTGGGTGCCCGAGGGCGAGAACAACAAGATCCCGGTGGCGATCAAAGTGCTGCACGAGAACACGGGCGCCAACACCTCCAAGGAGTTCCTCGACGAGGCCTACATCATGGCGTCGGTGGAGCACCCCAACCTGCTGCAACTGCTGGCCGTCTGCCTGACCTCGCAGATGATGCTGGTGACGCAGCTGATGCCGCTGGGTAGCCTGCTGGAGTTCGTGCGCAATAACCGGGACAAGATCGGCTCGAAGCCGATGCTTAACTGGTGCACGCAGATCGCGCGTGGCATGGCCTATCTGGAGGAGCGCCGCCTGGTGCACCGAGACCTCGCTGCGCGCAACGTCCTCGTGCAGACGGGTAACTGCGTCAAGATCACCGACTTCGGCCTGGCCAAGCTGCTCGACATCAACGAGGAGCAGTACAAAGCCGCAGGCGGCAAGATGCCCATCAAATGGCTTGCCCTCGAGTGCATCCAGCACCGCATATTCACCCACAAGAGCGACGTCTGGGCGTTCGGTGTGACCATCTGGGAGGTGCTGACCTACGGCCAGCGGCCTTACGAGAACGTGCCCGCGCGCAACGTGCCCGAGCTGCTGGAGAAGGGTGACCGGCTGCCTCAACCGGTCATCTGCTCCATCGACGTCTACATGATCATGATCAAGTGTTGGATGCTGGACGCCGACACGCGACCCAGCTTCAAGGAGCTGGCTAGCGACTTCGCCAAGATGTCGCGGGACCCCGGCCGTTACCTGGCCATCAGGGGCGACAAGTACATGCGGCTGCCCTCGTACTCGCTGCAGGACGAGAAGGAGATGATCCGCAACCTGGCCTCTGCGATGGACGGCGGCCCCCCGGAGACGCTGGTCGAGGACGACGAGTACCTGCAGCCCAAGTGCCGCGCGCCACTACCGCCGAACCTCCTGTCCAACAGCACCTCCGACTCCTCGCCGCCGAGCACGCCCATCAAGAGTTGCTGGCCCAACGGTTTGTCCCTAGGCGCAGCCGACTCGCCGATCCCGCAGAATCAGCAGAACTGGGATCGCGAGCTGCTCAGGTACGGAGCCGCCGCGCTCATGCACCCGACCGTCGGACCCGGTGCCCTCGGGCCGCTCAGCCACGGCCCCGCCAGCCACTCGTCGCTTGCCGACGCCCAAGTCAGTGTTCAGGATCCGACCAACTCGCTTCAGAGGTCCCACTACAGTCGTCCCAATGGTCACTGCGCGCAGCACCTCGGCGCCGCTCATTCGGACGCCGGCAGCTCGAGATACTGTTCGGACCCTCTCAAGATGATCGGAGTCAGAGGTAACTATTCTCAGCCCGCTGCTCTTTCGTAGATGCTTCGTTGCTGTTTCATTGCTGTTTCATTTGATTGCTCCTTGACCGCCCCTCTTAACCGTCTTAACCACTCAGAGTGCTTATTCTTTCTATTAACCAACTAAAACTCCACAATTCACATCAGATTGTGACGTGACAGATGACGGATTCCTTCCCGAAGCTACCACGGTGCATCAACAGGCCCAGGTTGGCGGTGTCAAGCTGGATCTCCCCGTTGACGAAGACGACTACTTAATGCCGTCAACGCAGCCCATATCTTCAAAAACGCAGTACATGGACATTATTGCCGAAACGAGTCCGACTGGTAAGATGAAGCTCTGCTACAGCTCAATTACAAAGCGGTTCGTTGCTCGAGCTCCGTTCAATCAATCACCACGGTCGTTATTCTACCTAGAAACCGAGTCGAAGCGTCTGAACAACGGCTTCCGCCAGTATCCTAAATTCTTGACGATTCCCGGCAAGACTTCGCTCGACAATCCGGAGTATATAATGTCTCAGGATGATGGCCCGTTGACGCCACAAACTCTCGGCATTCCTACGACGCCCACTCAATTGGACCAAGCATTGACGAACGGTGCGTTTGGTAGTGTTGCTCCTCTACGTCAGCGAACTTCCGAAGAGGAGTTGGACGATCACGAGTATTACAACGACTTCGTTACTGATCGCGAGCTTCAACCTCTTAAACCTTTGAGGAAGAACGAAACTACCGTCTAATTTTATTTATTTATTTTTTTTTTTTTTTTTTTGAGCAGACAGTCTGTTGAAAGTTTGACAGTTGAAGAGTCAAGTTCGTCAATAAACATTTCCATTCTTTTCCGAGAAAAGAAACAGTGTACAAAATATTGGTTTACCAGAACTAATTCGAAGCGGTGAGACGAAATACTTGGCTCTCTTAATCGTTATTTCAGATCTCGAAAATTATAGAGTAACGTGCACAGGTAACGCGAGGTCGGCGTGACCAGTTACTAAAAGATTTTTAACATTGTATAAAGCTAACGTTATCAGTCGATCAAATTTGATACTCGCGCAAAAGTTGCAATTTGTTGTTACTAGAAGTATTTTTTCAACTGTGTATATCAATGCAGTTTGATCAAAACATGTTGATTATCGAGATGTTTAACAAAAGTTTTGATATTGAAAATATTTGATACAATTTTACCAATGGATTTACCTCACGAAACGTTTTCGTACATATCCATTTTTTTAACGTATTCGTACTTTTAAAATTTATAAATCGATTAAATGTTTAACAAGCTTATAGATAACTGTAAATCGGCAAAAATCTTTATCCATAAATTTTCTATTTGAAAATTGTTGCTCGACGGTGATCCATGATGTTTAGTATTCTAATTAGCAAATTACTGCTTCAAGCATTTTTATAAAATTTACAAACTATTCATGCGACGACTTTCGAATGCGATTTGTAGTACTTAGAAGTTTCCTAAATAATAACGTGTACCGTGTTTGATTGTGATCATAACTTAATATTTTATGTATACAAACAGTGTGAAAGAGAGAAATTGCGAGGGTGATATATGAATATGACATGCATCTTTGCTGTATCTAGTGCTATATCGAACACATTTTTACAAATAAATATTTCGATATACCAGTAATATCAGCAATTACGATAAAATGTAGTGCAAATATATTCTTAATGTGCCATTGTTAATGTGGCTTGTAAATAATTGTAACTTATAAATGTAATTTACAAATCAGCGTGCATGTTCATTATTATGTTGTGCGTAAGCCCGATTGAAAAGAACTAGCATCTATAAGCCGTTCAAGCGAAAAAATCTATTTTTACATGTGGAATGACAAATACTTGTGCGATTTTTTATACATTGATCGATTTTGCATTGTCAATCTAGTTTTGAAGGAAATGAAGTTTTAACAATATAAATTTTAATATTCGGTCGAACGAATTCGAAAAAAACTTCGTTGTCACTGATGACTGTGATAAAAAAAATATTTAAGCCTTAACAATTTTTAAAACTACGCAATCCTACATTAATTGGGAGTTGTTTTGACGCTAAACATAAATGATAGAAACTTTTGTTCATTGTGCAGAATATTGAAATTGAAACACTTATGAAATAATGATTCGATTCAGTAAAATAACTATTGATTAATTCAAGATTTGTCAAAAGTAAAGTACAAATTCGTAAGGGAACATACTTATCGTTAAGAAGGTGTACCGCAAGCTGGCTTTCTCCATTTCAAATGTCGATTATGCAATATCTGGTTAGTATTCCGTTTGCTTAAATTCGTAGTAAACAGAGACGATGGTGTCTTGTCGCAACATAATATTGTGGCCAATGAAATTGGACCTGAGCGCATTTTGACGAGGAAAAATTTCAAACTTATAACGTTTTATAATTATTATTGAAGTTCAATGTATATATCAATACAATACTAGTGTTTATGTAAAAATGCCTTCTACTCTGTAGAATGAAAGTACTTCAATCATTAAAATAATTATGAGGCAAAAATACGTACTACAAGACAGTACGTAATACACTCTGCTTAAATGATTACTGGATAGGACGTGCCATGTTGTAAAGACAACAAGCGATGGAACAATCAGTTTCTACAGAAAAATGAGAATCATGAATCAGAGTTTGAGTGAATTTGCGTGATAATTGCAATGTAATATTTTCCAATTTCACACATCAATGTCGAACGAATCAAGTTTTTTCAAAGTCACAAATGCAAATTGCCTTCAATAAGTCAATACCTACTGTGTACATTATGTTGAATATTATTAAAATTTAATGTAACGTATTTAATTTTTATCGTATAACAGTTATTATTGTTTAGTATATTTTCACTTATAAAGTGCGGAAGCGAGCATATAAGTAGATAACTAAACATATATTTTAGTCTTGCGGTAAAATGAGGAGAAATGGTTAAGTTCAGGTTTTGTCCGTGGCCAATGGATATACGTCATTCTTCCAACTACAGTATTTTCATAGCTGCTAGGACTGTTTCGAGCAACTGTAGCAAAAGACTATAATTAAAGAATCGATGTATTTATCATGCGGTTGTGGACATAGACTTGATAGATCTTTATGCATATTATATCATATATCGTTATAAAATTATAAATAAATGAAAAAAATCAATATTTTAAATCAGTGTCTCAATTGTTCACCTACTCTCAAGATTTTAGAGTGGCTTTTTGCAGCTTGTCTGCTCTCACTGTACGCCAGTAAAAAGCTTGCTTGATAGCAAACACGATAAATGTGTCTGATAATAATTGATGAATAACGAAAGACCCTTGGCACGAGAAAGCGCGCCACGCCTCCATCAGTGGCTCGTCCGTCGACTGAGTGCTGACAATGAGAAGATGATGAGTAGTAGTAGTAGTAGTAGTCTTCGCACAATGTTGCCGTTCACGCATAAATAAAACATCCAGACATTGAATTACAATGCTGTTGTTTAATCGGCAAAACGTCAGTATCGGCGCGCGAATGTGCTTGCGACTCGTAAAAATTCCTACTTATCAGCGCTAAAACAAGAAACGGACAAAATAATCGTCTGTGCAGTTGTGCGTACAAAACGACGGCGACAACTTGTCGACAAGAGATGCTGCACTTTGACAATGCCTCGAGCACTCAACTGTATCTCAATTAAAACTGAGTTGCTTAGCAGAGATCACGGCTCCATAGTTTGGCCTCTTGTCACTTGCCGATCGACGTTCATCAAGTACAGCTAATATTCATGGCTCGCATCGAACATTTATTAAGGCGCTTTTTACAGAGAAGCCTTGCTAGTCCCAAAATTGTAGCTACATCACACAAATACTCCTTTGCCACTCACATTTTTACGTCTCACGGGCCCTTTAAGCTCGATAACGAACCGAGGTATAGTATCAATTCTGTCTATCTTTATTACTTTTTCATCGTTACGCCAATCTATTTCAATACTGCGCGAATCAATTGAATCAATCGTTTTCCTCTCCTCAATCTTATCTTTCGTTCATATTTGAAACATTTTAGATAAATACCAAATTTGAATTTTCAGTTAGTTTCGAAAGTAGAAATGATATTAAGGAAATTCATTCATATAGATGTATGATTTTATTAATATTCGCGCAAGACAGAAAACAACGAACATACCGATGTTACCGATGTTACTGATATTGTTACGCGCTTTGAACGACTGGGTTTAACTTGTTTAATTTGTTTGTAACACGTATCGTTCGCTTAACAGCAGTACAACGATCGCAATGAAAAAGTCGACGAGCAAAATGGTTTACTTGAAAAGGAGGGCAAATAATTGATGGATTTATCGCGAGTGAAAAAGTTGGATTAAAATTTGACTGCATTGAGCTTGTCGGAAAGCATACGGTGCATACTTTGCAGCGTTACAAGTATTTTTATTATGTAAATTGTCCGACGCGACATCTAGTGGTAAAGACGCAATAAATTGTTATCACTGTTATCAGAGATCAGAGTGAAAGTTGCGGGTTGAATTTTCTGCTTGCAATGTTGCTTTTGATGAAATTGTACATACCTACGTACTTAGCCGGCAATCGCGTACTATATAAGTCGAGAGTATGCGACTCCATGTTTGTAATTATATTTGTGTGCTAAGAGAGCGTCGCCTCGTGTAACAGCTTGTTGCGCAGACGTAACTTAAGAACAATGTCAACTCAAATGAAGGACCCGTACCTGCGGCATCTATTTGACGGTGACCCTGCTTGGAATGTCTACAGTAAAGGCGTGATCAACCTTTCAGTGGGTGCGCCAGGCCCTGATCTGCTGCAGAAGTGCACTAGCCTACTAGCCAAAGCAACCAAACATAGACTGGTAAGATGTTTATTAAAGTATGCTTTTGCAATGCATATCCTCGATTATTCGGAATAATTTGCAAAGGAAAAACGTGCAATTCTAGCAGACTTTAAAAGACATTTTGACGATGTCTCGAATCCATTTGTGTCAGTTAAAAAACCATGTCGCATCGTGTGCAATGTTTTCATTAGATTACGTATCGATCAGAAAAAGCCTCCGATTTCATTTTATTTGATAAATAATTGGCTTTCCTCGATCAAACATGAGCTGAACTTGTTATCTGTCTGCGTAATATATAATTACACAAAGATAAGTGTGGTAGACGTCCAAACTTTCTTCTTTTCATTTATTCATGCCAACTGATTGCAACGTATAATGGCAGATTATTCTTATTGTACAATGTTTTCTGAAAATGAAAATATAAGGTGCACGCGGCTAACAATGAAGCAGGGCAAATACACTGAATGTTTTTATTTAATTGGATTATCGTTTAATAAACTTTAATTAATAAATTAATAATTAATAATAGATTAATAAACTGAATAAACCAAGCAAAGAAATAATATATGATGGATGAAATTAGAATGAATATCATTGAAAATGATAACAGGAAGAAGAGGAGAAAGAGGGAAAATATTATCTATTTCAATACGGAGCAACACCCGGCTTGTGGGAATGTCGCGAAGAGCTAGCTAAGTTTTTGACCCGGCGTTACGGCGATCCAGTTGCCCGTGAAAATTTAATACTAACTTGCGGAGCTACCCATGGACTTCAGTTGATATTGACCAGCATTCTGGCACCCGATGCTGTCATTTTCGTGGACGACGTCACTTATATGATAGCACTCGAGGCTTTCAAACAATTTCCCTTGAAACGCGTTATATCAGGTTTGCTTTGTTGCAACTCACCGAATTTTAGCTACTGTGAAAATCACACGGACGTCCGTTGTTTATGCTTGTGTGATTAACAGTTCCGATGAAAAATGATGTGGTCGACTTGGACGCTCTTGAAATATTGGTGAAGCAAGAAACGCTGAAAACATATTCTTTGGGAAATGACAAGATATTTTGGGCTATGTACTACACGGTGCCGACATTCCACAATCCCACTGGGATGAGCATATCTCCTGGTAAGCGGACCTACAAACGATCCACCAGCTGATCAATTGTCTACCGACGTACTTTTATTTCAGACATGTGTCAGCGACTAGTGAAAATGGCACGAGAAAATTCGTTTACCGTAGTCTGTGATGATGTTTATAATCTTTTACATTATCAAGCTGAATATCCCCCCCACAGACTTTTCAATTACGATAATCCAAAAGATCTAGATTACTGTGGAGGCAATGTTATTTCGAATGGATCGTTCTCGAAAATTCTTTCGCCAGCGATTCGTGTCGGTTGGCTCGAGTGTGGTCCACGAGTTGTCAATATCTTGAAGGAATCGTAAGAAATTCCCTCTTTCACGCAGATAACGCTTTATACTTATTTCATTTCTCAACTTGGATTATTACTTTGCAGAGGAGTTTTAAAAAGTGGAGGAGCTGTCAACCATTACGTTTCCGGATTAATCGCCAGTATTTTGCATCTTAAACTCGAAGATGAATACTTGGATAATCTGATCAAGATATACAAGGCAAAATCTCTTTTTCAATACGTTACCTTTTTACAGCAATCTATTTAAATAATTTTCATATTTTTATTTCTAAACGCCCAGGAACGTATGACAGCTCTGTGTGATGTACTCGACCGTAATTTACCTCGCAATTGTTCTTACCGACACCCTCAAGGCGGATATTTCGTCTGGATCAAGCTTCCTGAAGGTATCTTTAAATTACTTCTTTTGCATAATTATTCCATTACTAATTATTTTTTTCAATTACAGAGCTGGATTCTCTACCGTTTATGAAATGGTGTCAAGAAGTACACAAAGTTTCGGCTATACCTGGGGCCAGGTTTTCAAATCATGGCAAGTCAAAAAACTATATAAGAGTCAGTATTGCATTTCACAACGTTGAAAACATCAGAAAAGCAGCTCTATTACTCTGCAATGCCATCACAGAATATGCAAAAGTTAAAAGTAGCCTGTGAAGTTATGATACTAGGAGACATATTCTAATTTTTGCATCTTTTCATTCATTTTATATTTCAATTTTTATACCACTGTTATACATTGATATTGTAAAAAATTCAGTATTTTTTCCAAAATTCTCTATTTACTCAATTATTATTTTACTACTTTTGTAAATATTACATTTTCAAAGAATTTTTTCAAAGAACATTTGTAATTCTCGAAATTTAATCAGCTTTATAATTATTGCCATTCAAGGATCAAAATTCAATAATGATCTTATAAGAATAACACAGAAAGGAAAGGCAAATGAATTTCAATTCATGGTAGCTGAGTCAAAGTTTATGTAAATTCTATATGTCGTCAAGGATAATAACATTTCAAAGATTTCAGTTCATTTTGAAAAATGTATTAAGCATAACTATAACACTTAAAAAATTAAATATCTCACAACATCATTACTAAAAATAATTGATTCTATTCTCATTATCCTAGTAATTCATCTTGTTTAGTTTTTAAAATATTTTCTGCTTCTTTAATATACTTATCATGAATCGCTTCTACTTGTCCTTGTACACTTCGAACTGTATCCTCACTTACATCTTTTCTTTTCCTCAAAGTTTTTACCACTTTATTTCTAATATCTTTAATTGAATCTCTGTGTCTAATAAATATTGCCTTGGCGTTTTTGGCTAAATTTTCTCTATGTTCTTTTGTTACCCTAAAGCAGATTTATTTATGAAAGTTTATATCTGAAAATTTTAAATATTATAACATTATGCAATTTACTTGGGAATTGGTAAGAATATTGTCGTTCCATCCTGCTGAGGATTAAGATTTAGTCCACTCTTTTCGATAGCCTTCAGGATATGAGGTATAGCAGTAGGAAAAGATGCAATGTTCAGCACTATAATTTTTGGTTTACGTGCAATTTGTGCAAGTTCTTGTAGTTGATATTCTTTCCCATCTAACAAGACAGGAATCTGTTCAAGAGAACCACTTGTTGAACGCAATGTAAGATTTTTAATAAAATCAGCTTTGAGATTTTCAATAACTTGATTCATATCATTTATAAGACTCTCGGTATCAAATAATTCACTAATAACATTTAAATCAATTTTTGAGGCCTTGGGTTTTTTTTTCTCTTTTCCACCACGGTCTTTAGATTTTCTAGAAACTATCGATGTATGGATGTTTCTGGAGAGAATTTCTTTCTCTAATAATAAATATTTCTCTGATTTAAATTTTTGAAATTGTAGATTCAAAGAATTATTATTTCGCACTGATAAACATTTTTCATAAGAATAATGAAAACAATCACTGTTTCTAAGAATAGAAAGAGTACGGGTACTATTATTAACGTTAAAAAAACGTAAAATATCTTTAACAATTTTCATATTCATAACAATTTCTGTTCAAATTAAAATAAAATTTATATTTGAAGCAAAGAGGTTAATTTAAATTAAATGAAATTTCACTTTCAGTAGCCTTGTGTATAAATAATAAATATTTTTCTACGAATCGTAATTGTCACAGATGCAATATGTTTAATTGACAACTATGAATATTTATGTACATCTAAATTTGTTATTAAATTAAATTTTCAACAACCTAATAAGCTATTTGAAAGTTCAACTGCTATAAATGGATTCATTGTTACCGATGATAATATACAAAGTAAGATATCTGTACTATCGGCTGAATTAATTTGCATAGCAGTCCAGCTCGGTGTTGACTCTGACTCGAGATATGTGTGTGTGTGTGTGTGTGTGTGTGTGTGTGTGTGTGTGTGTGTGTGTGTGTGTGTGTGTGTGTGTGTGTGTGTGTGTCAGTTCAGTCGGTTGGTTAGATTTATAGAATGTTTATTATACTGCATTTGTTCGCGAATGAGATAAACAAGATCATAAAAATTGACATAATTATACGTCTATCGACAATTGCATGATTTGCGTTATCATTTTGTGATATATTTTTTAACAAATAGTAGTTACCGAATTTTAACCATATTTTTGAAAACGTGACGGTATTTAGTAGTCTTTGATATTGCAAGTACACTGATTTATTTTTCATAACTTGCACAATAACAATTGTTATTTTAAAGTTAAAGTACAGTTTTTTATTGCTTACATCTCTTCTATATATTTATAGAACTTATCTAAAAATTAGCAATAATAGTTTTTTTTTTTTTGCTCTATCAGTAAATAACTTTATTAGTAAGACAGCTACAAACAATACTGACTAATCTTTTTAAATTTAAAGCTATATTCTGTTGGGCTGTATCTCCTCTACAACAAAGTTAATTGATATAGACACTATTAACTTATTTTTAATGAATCAATATGAATATACTACCAAAAACACCAGTTTCAATTTTACAAGAAATGATGGTTAAGAAGAGTATAACTCCTAACTATGAGTTGATCCACAATGGAGGTGGAACACATCAAAATACTTTCACATATCAAGTATCATGTGATGGTCTAACAGCAACTGGTACAGGCAGATGCAAAAAAGATGCTAAACACGAAGCTGCAAAAGCAATGCTGGAAGCAATAGCTAAACATATTTCTTTGCCTCAATTACCAGCATCCCCTAGTGAATCACCTGTCAGAACACCTTTGCCAATAATTGTACCTGCTCCTCCAAAGTCACCAGCCAATGTTCCCTTTCGTAACACAATTGGTGAACTGCAGGTATTATCATGTTCTGCTTCATACATAATAATCAATGACTCGAAAACAATTTTTAAAGAAAAATTAATAATCTGTATATTTTAAGGATTTGTGTTCAACTAATAATTTAGATGATCCAGTGTATGAAGAAATAAGTGATGTTGGACCTCCTCATGCACGAGTTTTTACTGTGCAATGTTTGGTATCAACTTTTGTAGAAAAAGGAATAGCCACAACTAAGAAACAAGCAAAGCATCAGGCTGCTCAAAAAATGATAGACCGGATAATTGCAGTTGTCTCAGATGAGGGCAGTGATCACATGAAAGATAGAAATACGAAAAAGGAGCAAATGGCAAGTGAAATAGCAATAGCTAGGTATCCCGAGTTGACTGTAAATCATGAAGTAATGAAATCCAAAGTAAATTGGGGGCTCAAAGTGTTAAACTTTCATAAAAGATTGAAAGAAAGCTTTAATGAAGAGAATCTCAAAATCTTTCAGGATAAATTAGAAGTTTTATCAAATTTAGTGAATAAGTATAATAACAATAATAATGAAGAATTATATTCAAATTTAAAGCAAGAATTGGAGAGTACATTGATATCTTCGAATATACAGTTTTATTATACAAGTTTTGCAAGTGCCCATATTGGTTATATCATAGGTATGCAACTCAGCACTGCTCCAGATATTTCTGAAATTGGTTCAGGTAAATCTGCAATTGAAGCAGAAGTAAATGCCATAAAAAAAATTATTGATGCTTTACAATTTTTTGTAAACTAAAAAAAACTAAGTGAAGAATAATTACAGTCCGAAATTTGCGATTTTTGTTTTTAATACATAAAAACATTTATTTTTTTGGAAACAAAGTTAACCTGTGAAAAATATTATATTTTATGCAAAATTGTGATCATACTTTTTATTTCTACTTTTAATATATTGCTTACAAAGTATTAAAGTTATTCTGTAAAAATACTGTAACCCATTAACTATAAAATAGTTGGTGTATCAATATCGATAACTTATTAAGTGTTGAAAAACAATTGTTACAATATTTTTTTTATAATAAATTATTTGCACAGTTGAAAATGTAAAACAAAACAACATTCATTTATAAAGTAATCTTGTAGTAACAAAGTCGATCGCGTTTACTTGATGTCACATAACAAAGCTACTCCACGAAGCGTCCAATGTCTAGGATTGTGATCAGTTTCAAAGTCAATGGAACCAACGTATTTTTGATCCGTTCTTTGAGGCTTTCTATAAATTGGACATTCATATAACTTGGGATCCTTGCCCGCAGTAGTATTGATAGCATATATGTAAATGACGGGCATCTGTTCATACAAAACTTTCGGTTTGCTTTCAACGAGTTTACCAGTTTTGCGATCAAGAGAAGCACCCTCTAAAAATAAGCCGTGCACATAAACTCCTTCCTGTGGCGACTCCTTGATTTCCTCTTTGTTGTAACGCGTAATCAAATTTTGTAATACCACGGAATCCAAAGCCCACCCTTTGTGATTTCGTGTGACTTCCTACGAAATATTCTTATGCTAAATTTGTTCGGATGTAAATTATGCAATTATTGTTATTCGTTATCTAACCTGACGCATCGCTGTTAAAAATCCTTGCGGATTGAAAAATCCCGTCATCCAGTAAACGGTAGGTCTAGTAGTTTTGCACCAGAGTCGGAACTGAGCATCTCTCTCGAGTAGCTCGGTAAACCAGAAACCAAGTGTTGCTGATTCCCATGAAATTTTCAGCCACTTTTCCGGTAATCGAGCGTCGTACATTGCATCCAACGAATCGCGCAAAGCTTGGCTCATAACTATGGTGCCGTCAATGGCTAACTTAAGATTCGTCAAGGTGGTCCGCACTTCCTTGATTACTCGCGACATTCTTAAAAAAATTGAAATGAACCGAACGGAATAGGTATAAAGCAATAGGAGTGGCAAGGGCAAAGGAAGAACTAGAATACCTGTCGATTTCTTGACGTAAAAATATGGTCATAGGCTGCAGGGGTCCAAGCTTTTGAATGGCTTCTTTCACTTCAAAGGCGTTGTAATCTTTTGGCAGTTTGGTAAGCATGTCCTCGGCTAGTCTGTAGACAATGTTCTCTCTGGTCTCGCCACCTTGCGAGCCACCTTCTTTAGGTTGCACACTTAATATCGTATCCAGAATGCCCTTCGCGGTGTTGATTTGATAGGTGATGTCGGCGTTGGAGTGCAAGCCAAATACTTCAGGTGTATCGGCTTCGGGAAGACTATTGATGTAATCCACGTAGCCTTGCAGGTTTCGAGTTTGAGGAACTCTGTACCCCTTATAAAACTCGAAACCAGCTCGCAGAAGAACATCGCAGAACCAAACGTGAGTGAATGTTGTAAGTAGCCGCTTGTCAAAGTCATCGGTTACCCGACCTCCGTATTGGACCTACGTTTGGTTTCGGTTCAGTGATTGCGATCGAACGAAACGTACCGGGACAAACGACTGGTAATGAATAAAAGCTACCTCTCCGAGCATGTAGCAGACGGTCGGCCAAGACACTCCCTTCTTTGGATCCATATCATCGAGATGATTTTGAATGAACTGTACAGACGCAGCAAAGTCGGCTTGATTGAATTCATAGGGTATATTCCAGCCGAGCGGGCCAAACTTGCGTCGTTCTTGCACGACCGTATGTAGAAACGCGACTGCGTATAACAGCGGGGGCCACTGTGACTGAGTACTGTAGTCTAAGGTGTCTTGCGTGACGCCCTGATACGTCCGCTTCAAGCTCGCGCGTATCCCTTGGGGTGGCTCGTTGGTGAACTTTATAGCCATCTTTAATGAAATATCACGGATTGTCCGGACTGTTGATCGGATCGATGCTTTACATTGAAATCACTTGATTTAAGTTACCTGCAGCAGACCAATCGGAAATTGGGCGTGAACTTCAGTGGTCATCCACAGTCTAAACGACTCGTGAATTTGATCGGTCTCGACCAAGGCGTCCATCAATTCCGTACAAAACGGCAATGACAGATGAATATTTTGTAAAAGAACCCATCCACCAGTGAGCATTGCATCGTTGATCATCTTCCTTGCATGGAATTCTTGACCTTGGCCCATGGACACCGACCTAAGTTCTATAAGAAATAGGTCAATCAAGTTCTCGTTTTATCGTTACACTATCAAATGCGACGGGTGTAAAGATCAACCATACGGATAGACTTGGCTTTGGCTAGAGCAGTGATAAGCGGGCTCGGATCCGAGCCAATAGATAAGATGCATATGAGCGGAGTTCTCGGCTCCGATTCTCCCCACGTCACTTCTAGATCCAAAATTTTAGCCTCGCCGTATTCCTTTCCCAACGATTCAACTATGTACTTTCTGGCCTGAGAGAGCGTTCGATCAGGGCTCCAAGATCTAATCAACAATAGTTTTCGAAAAACATCCAAGCTCTTTTGATATCCACACGGTAAGTCTTCCTCTTCGGGCTTCTCTTTTTCGTACCATACTCGCCACTCTCGTTCACTGCCAAACAGCTCAAAGTCATTTTTCATAAAAAGGTTAATTATCACTTACATGTCACAATATTTTACCTGTACTCGATTTTCGTCAATAGTTCGGAGAAGACCTCTAGCTTATTTATTTCAATGAGATTCAGCCAGGTGATGTCAAGGATCCATCGGAATGGCTTGGGCGCAACAGCGTTCAAGTCGAGAGATGCTCCACCTTTGATGAAAGACATGAATTCGTCGTAAGTTATGAGACCTCGCTGACAGTCAATTTTCATGGCGAGCATCAGTGTGAATAGAGGCTTGTGTTTTTCGTACAAGCTGCGCAAAGTAAAACTCCAGACTTCGTAGGTCAAATGTCTCAAAATAATATTGATTCTCTCATTTGTTATCGCACTCTTTTCCGACTTGGTTATAGAATTGTCAAAAATAGTAAGGAATTGCTTGAGAGAGTTTTGGTACATAACGTTCACGTTGCTCATTTCGACAATTAAGAAATACAATATTGATCCTCTTGCGGCGACTGCTCGAAATTCTTCTCTCGCTACGGTGATTTTCTTTTCCGTTAGAGCTGCGACTTGAAGCTTTTCCTTGACGGATTCGGAAGTTGATTTAGTCTCTCTCAAGACCCCTAATGCAATACCAATAATCTCTTATCGCGTCATGTGTATTTCCAAGAAATTTTAGATAGATAATTAAAACATACCGATCAGTGCTTCATCGTCGACTAATGAGCCTTCAGACGATGTTAATCTGTGCAACAGTGTACTTTCGAGTTCTTTCATAGACCTTTGATTAGTCATGACCGACTCAAAAAGCGCTACTCTTTCAGCTTCCAAATCTGCCTTCTCCATAAGAATGACTCGACCGAGTAATTGATCCTCGAGTCCTAGCATAGTTACTGTGAAGTCAATTATCGACGTTTTAGCGGATATTTCTGGGCTATAGGCCGGATTAGGCAATTTCGTAGTGATGTATAACATGAAGCCTGGCATAACATCGCATTCTTTGTCGCCAACGATTACTTTTTCTATCGAGCCTGATTTAATAAAATTCTTTTCAAGCACGTTGTCAATCACGGGATCCAACTCTTCTGCGACATCTTCAATGAGCAGTGGTCGGCCTGTTGATTGAAAAATAAAATTTACTATAATATCAACTCCTTGTCTCGCTGATTCGTTACCAATATTTTGCAAATCTTACCCAATGACAAGCTATCTTCCAAGTGAGTTCTAAAGTATTTATGATTTAAAGAGGTAATTTGAAGCTCATTTGTCATTTCTTTATTCTTAATCCACATCTTTCCTTGGTTTTGAGGATCTATTAAAAGTGGATAAGATGAAGATTTAGTAACGATCAAGGCATTTTGTACCGATAGTTCGTCATTCGGAAGGCCTTGAAGAGTCCATTCTGAGACCGTAGCCGTATCTACTAGCATATTTGTAATATTCAAATCTTGAGTAAATGGAATTGTTCTTGAAGTCAGAATGTTCATCCACGAAGTTATAAGACCAGCACGGAATTGTTGATTGTAAGGACCGCAATAGGAAAGAAAGCCCGTAGCTAGTAGAACATCACCGACCAGTTTACCCAGTTGCACTTTGAACTCTTTGCTTTGTTCTGTCCATCGAATTTTTTCGCCACCTAAGCCATTAATCAGTGCCGTAGCAGCTGTCATTTTTCGCAAGCAAACGTTTGCATCGTCCGTCAATCTCTGCTTCTCTGACACAGCAGCATCGTACTGAGCTGCATGTTAGAAAGAAATTTTTAAGTTTTATCAACTATCTGTAAATGATTGATTAGGACATTTCACACGATGCCTGTTTGATCATACCTTTAACTGCCTGCAAAGCCATTTCCCTTTCGGATAACTCTATTTCCGCATCAGCGAGATCTTCCATCGCAACTTTTAATCTTGCTTCTTGCAGCGTTAAATTAGCTTTCAGCGGCAGAACTTCTTTATTAACGGAATGGAAGAAAGCCATAGCCTTTGTCCACGACAACAAACCAGCGACGTCACCGCACACTCTTCTCGCCATTTCCATGTTGTAATCTTCCATCTTGAAGTATGGTTGCAAAAGTTCAATCATCTCATCGTTAATCATGTCTTTTGGATAGTTTTGCAGCTGTAAAAGGAAAGTTGTACTGGCCATCATCTTCAACGACTCAACCCATGATGGTTTGGGACATGGCGCAGCTGTATCTGGCACCACGGGACCTACAGTTTTAACACAATGGTTTAGTACGAGAAATTAATCAACTGTTTTATCAACTCAATGGAATATGTGTAATAATATGAAATCACCCAATCTCCTTTGAAATAAAATTAGCACGCAGTCCATAATTCTCATAATAAGGTGTGGTGGTCTGCCCAGTTTTCGCACAGTTGCAATATGGGCTGGTTTGATAGTATTAAGCGCTGCTTCAGCTTCTTCCAGAGCAGGCTTTGCAGCTTCCAGCTTCTGTTCTGCCAAAGCTTTCTCTTCGGCTATACATGCCACCAATTGCTCGGCCTTTTCTTTAACCTTCTGCACCTGATTTTTAAAGGTCTCAGCCTGCATAGCTCGTTCCGTAACTTCCAATAATACTGTTTCTGCTGTCTGAGAAGCTTGAGCCAAATCTTTTTCCATTTCGGCTAGATCTCGTTTCAATATCTCTACCGATATTGAAGCCTCCTCGAGTTTTGCCAAACCAGTGTCCATTCGTCGTGCTCCTTCGCCGAGTTCATGTTGTTTCATTTTGTAAATATTTTTATAACCGCCAATAAAATTAAGGTATGATTTTGGAGTCACATGTGTTGCTCGCCGAAAACGTTGAAAATATTCGCTGGATGTTTCTGAAACAATATCTTGAATTGAGCCAAGTGCAGTAACTAGTTCAGTTTTTACCTCGGAACTGCAGGCTATTTCAAAATTGTGTAAAAAGTGATGAGCCACAAGAACTAAAGCATCTCTAGGCCATGGTTGAAACCTTAAAAGTTAAGAAATATTTATTATTGTTCTAAAAAAATTTTAGCTAATAATTAACAAAGTAATCAACCAATTTATGGTGCAGCCAGATATAAGTGCTGGAAAACGTTGTGCTCGGCTCCTGAATTTTTCTCCAACGGGAGAAAAACAAAATACTACATGTAAGTTTTGACAAGTCCTCTGCAGAAAATGTTCCATTACTACCTCGTTGTTTAGAGTTTTCTTTGGATTTTCGCGTTTAAGTACTGGAGTCAACTCGGCTATTATTTCAGCCCAGTCATCTTTACTGAATAAGTTACTAATTACTCCTGAACTTAATATATTATTCAAATATTCAAGAAATCCCTCTTCTTTGATATCAAGATCTGTGAAAATAAATGTGGTACCTTTTCCTTGGCCACCACAAGTTCGATATAAAAATCTAAGATCGTCCAAAAAATTGGTTGCATTGTACGATCTTGTGAGAGTTATTTGATGAGTTTTGTAACCAGCAATGAATGATGAGAGTTTCGTCAAACTTTGCTTTCCAGATCCTCCAACGCCCACCAGCATAACATTACCTCTAGGATGTCTTATTACACGCGATATTTTGACTAAATGTAACATTGCGTCTGGAAAAAATACGAGATCCATGCCTGCACCACGTTGCATTTCGTTGAATTGAGATAAAAACATTTCTAAACGATCGCGAAGGATCTGATACTCAAACACAGGCTCGTACACTTTAGGCAGTTCCATATCAGCATCCTCGCCTTCTTCACCCGTTGGCTCAGGAGCGTCTCTATAATAAATTTGCACAGGATGATCAATGTATTAAGAATAAATATGTTATAAACGCAAACATCAGTCTACATGTACTACCTCATGAAATCGACAAAAGCTGGATTTTCTTTGATCGTATTCACGTAAGATACTCCAAGCATCTCCGTTACAACTGTAATCAATTGTTTGCTAAACCAATCTTTGTCTGCTTGGAGTGTAAATCTATCGCTGAAAACTCTTTCGCACTCGTGTTTCCAAAGCAACATAAGTACTTGTTCCCTATCAATGACCGTGCACAACGTTCCCAGCATTCCTTGCCAAATTCTTGATAGATCTCTCAAATTAAATACGTAATGAAACTTTGCTGGTGTTGGTAAAAGCTTTGCTCTTGTATTCTGCCACAAGACTCTAGTGAGAGGTACTATTTTTTTGACTAGACTTCTAATCTCTGCACTGAAACCTCGCTTTGAATTGTAATGACCTTCGCCTAAAACTCCAAATATACGATCTATTGCTGCGTTATCAGGCAATGTGCAATTAAATATGCAAAACTGTCTCTTCAGTCTTGACGGTATATCGTTTCTTCCACCACCTGGTTGACCCATTGCTGCCATAAACGTAACGTCCACAATTGTTGTGAAATCTCCTGGCTTTTCAAGCGAGTAAAATCCTTTCATATCCATTGTTTGACGAACTATTTCATTGGTAACCTGATCACCCCATTCATTGATTTCTGGTAAATTAATATCATCAATAAAAACAATCATCTTTTTACCACTTGAAGGACCAAAAGTCATGCCCATTCTTTTCTCAACGTAACTTTCAATTGTTTTCTGAAACTGATGGGGACTTGTGGCTGAGCTAAAATTGAATGATCGGCTGAGCGTCGTATCCGGATTAGCTTTTTTCATGTACGCTTTCATCATTACTGTTTTGGCAGAGCCTTGCTCGCCTGTTAACAATACTGCTCTATCCTGCTTACCAATCAAATCTATTAAATATTCTATCCTTACATTATCGGGTATAGGTACCAATATGCTACTAAAGTCAGGCGTTGCGTACTCTGGATACACATAATTTGTTAACATGCTTGTCCAAGAGTCCCATTTACCTTTTTCGTTAACATAGTAATCAAAAACAGTAGCTTTGGAGTTCTTCTGTGAATAAGGCAAGTCAAGAGATTGCATGTTTTGTCGAAGATAATCATCGTATTTTTGTCTATCATCTTTCTCCAGTAAACCACCAATACTCCACACCAAAGCAAATGAATAAAAGCGACAAAGTTGTTCAGCGGTCATCGGCGTGGTTTTAAGGTGTTCAAATTCTTCTTCGAGCTCTTTTTCTTCTTCTTCGACTATTACTTCTGCAGGTATTAATCCTTCTAGTAAATATAGTATCTGTCGAACGATATTACACTGCAATACGTTTATTGCAAACACTAAAGTTTGAGTACTCCATGAGTAAATCTGTAATTTTGTGAAATAACACTTTCAACGAACGTTAAAAGCAATATGACATTAGTTTCAACATCTTACTCTTTCTTACCTGTGGAAAAGTTTCATGAAAGCATTGTTCGAAAACTTCTTTTTCTAACGCTGTTCTTCTTTTAAGCCAAGCAGTCACAACAGGATCCCAGTCCAATCCAGATGAACTCATATAGACCATACCATTTCTCGAAACAGTTGCTGGACTAGCATTGTCAATGTTGTGCGGCTCAAATATAATTTTACACGATGGAGACATCGGTAGTCGATCACCATTGGCCAGCGTTAATGTTTTATTATCATCGAGCACCGAATTAAGATTTTCGATCCATATACTGTCAACTGGTCCATCAAGAACGAGCCAAATATGTTCATCTTGTTTCGGTTTTAAAGTCTTTCGCCAAAGAGCCGAAAAGATACCATCCGTCCAGTCATTTGTGGCAACGTCTAATCGCCCAAACATTTGTGCCGCAGTTATACTTTTTGGGTTCATTCTCATCTCCCTGAAATATCATGTTATTTATTTAATATTGTATATTTATAACAAAGTACAAATCAAAGGGTTCATCTGTTATATATACCGATGTGGTTCTTCGCATTCAGTGAGAACTTTCATTAGTGTATGAATGCAAGTGGTTTTTCCTGCACCAGTAGGGCCTAATGTCATGATGCCATGCCTGACTCTTTGAGTTTCATATAATTGAATGAGTTTTAATACCCAAGGAGGATGATATATTAATCCATCTTCTTCAACTTGTTTTTCAATAGCGGCTTCAAGTTCTGGATAGGCTGTTTTTTCGAGAACTTGATTTGGAAATAAATCAGCCACCAAAGATATAAATAATGGCTCATCTTCATCTAAAATGTAAATTTTATACCGTATTATAACTGATAAAATATTATTTTATTGAAAGAACATACCTATTAATTTTGATAGGTTCATGTCTCTTAAAACTCTCATTACAATTGTACTTTCTGAATCTTTTGAATTAGTTCTTTTAGCAGCTCCTAATGATCGTAATACAGACAATATATTTCTCAACCCAAAATCATAATGTACTTGTTTTGTAAGCTGCTCCTCGCAAAGTTTGTATAGAGTATAGAATTTTCGAGCCAACGTTATATTTTCTAAAAAGCCACAACTGGCTAATTTGACTCTTATTATGATTTGTCTGTCAGGTACCATCATTGCCACTGTACGAAACTGTATTTTGAGATTCTCGGGCAATTCCTTTCTTCCCGCGTAGCCAGGATTCTAGAAAACCACATAGTATCCTCTTATTTTTTTTTATTAATCGCTGTGTGAAAACTTTGGAAATTCTTAATTTAAATAGATACCATTGTGATGAAAATTCCAAACTCTGGGCACAAGTCTACCTCATCTCCATCAGTAAAAAAAAATTGTTTCTTCTTCTCCTTTCTAGCTGATAAAACCACAGCAATCTGCTGAGCTGCCACTGAAAGCACAGGCAATTCTATTCGATTAAATTCATCGAAACATCCCCAAGAGCCACTTTGTGCTAGTCCTTTGTAAATGCGCCCGAGTCCTCGATAGTCCATCTGGTCTGAGCAGTTAAATACAACAACGTATTTAGCTAGAGTTTTACCCATATCTTTTACAGTCTCCGTTTTACCCGTGCCAGCGGGTCCGCAAGGCGAACCACCCATAGACATTGACAATGCTTGTGCTAATGTTATGTAGCATCTGCACAATGAATGCGGAATTGGCAATTTTTCAAGTCCACACGTTGATAAAAATTTGATCTAATGTTAACAATACTAACCTATCGGTAAGAGGAGTGATAACCAAACGTTCAGTACAACCTAGATACTCATTTTGATAGACAAAGACCACGTCGGTTATTGATATAGAAGTTTTGTCCAAATCCTCTTTGAAATAAAATCTACACTGTTTCAGCCACTCGAAGTCATTTACCGAGCGGACATTCAGACGGCACTGTTATCAATGTACAATTAGAGATGAAGTGAGATTATAAATATATAATAAAATATAAAGTTTGTTCTATCAAAGGAATTAGCTTACTAAAATGTCGAAAATATCACGTTGATGAACGTGAATCGTTATAAGGGTTTCAAATTTAATTCTATCAATTTTCGTCAAATCTCTTGTTGTCTGGTCAATAAGCGTATTTAGCAGCTCCAAAAAGCGATTATTGGTTTCTCCCATGATTTTTTTGTCAGCACGAGCTTGCATGAGAGCTACCTCAGCATCTCTAGTCCATATCATTTGTATACCCAATAAACCAACTTGAGCAGGCATTTTGTCAAGAAAACCAAGAAGATTGAAATTGGGATCATTAATCATCGTATATGCTTGACGAATGATGGAATGTAAAGATTGTTGAGAAGTTTGTAGCAGTTGTGTAAGCCAAGTTTCGACAGAACCTTCAGCTCGAACAGCTCTTTCCAGCTGGAATAGTTAGTCATAAGGCGTAATGAACATGTAAGTGCTTGTTTTAGAAAGAAAAAATTAAGCTGTATTAAGTTACTTGAATAATTTCTCCTTCCGATGAAATAATTGCAGTTATTTTATTGTATTCAATATCATGAAATTTCACATGTCTTGTATTGTCAAAAATGGATAATAAATGATTTTGTATGGTATGCGAATCGGACGCTTGGCCTAAAATTTCCAATAAAGCTGGGTCGGAGACAAAGAAAAATCTAGGGAACATCATTCGTTTTTTCTCTAGATATCCACTTAGAGATTTCTGACATAATTCCAGTTGCTCCTGCAGATGAGGTAACAGTTGCTTTAATAAATCATCACCTACACAGCAAGGGACTACTCCTGGAGTTTCATGTGCTCTTTGCATTATTTTTTGCCAGCTCTTATCAATTTTACTAAATCGCTTTGCTTCTTTTGGAAGTTGCTTGGCAATATCACCACCGACAAATACTGCTTCCAAATATACCCACATATTTTGCACAAGAAGCCAGCGTTCGAGAATCTCGTTGGTATTAGATAGATCACCTAACCACTGTTGAATCTGCTTGCGGAAAGGAGCATTGTATCGATTTGACATTAAAGAGCTCAAAATCATAAGGCTGTCTTCTGTGAATTTCAATAACAATTTGAATAATTACTCGAAAAACAACAAAAAGTCTTAGGATAATTACCTAATTGCCCGATGATCTCTGCAGTCGAATCACCACGAAGCAGTAGTTCGCCTCTGTTATTGAAAACTTGGAAAGACAACTCTGCTGCAGACCATTCGTTCACAACCTGTCTTAATTTAGCTTCAATATCTTTTTCTTTCATTGCCGAGATGCAAATATCTTCAATGTCTTCTTTATGTTTCAATAAAGGTGCTTCGAGTATATTTTTTAAGCAAAATCCCTCGCTCTCGAGATCAAACACGTGATTAGTTACCTCGACAATTCGCTGCCAGTGTCGAGGTTTCATTGCTTTGTTAGCCATTAATTCAAGTAATGGACACATATCGTTGAAGTCATCGATTGTTTTTTTCAAAGCAAAGAAAGCTGGCCACTCTTTTAGACCCTTTGGTAATTTTCTGCAGCGATTTTGAAATTCCATCAACTCATTGTTTATTTCTTCAATGTTAACCTTGGCAATAAAAATTTCAAATAGAATACTTGTTATCACTTTTAGATTTAGAGTTTCATGAAATGCTTTTAAAAGGTGAATAAAACTTTTTTGAAATAAGGTTTAAATATTCTATTTCAATTGTTCCTTCGATTATTTAAAATCATAAGCTATATTTGAATAACTAGAATTAAATATATCTGGTGTGAATGAAAGTACGATGTGAAAGTGAACACCAAAATTATATTTCAGCTATCAATTCTACGTACTACAATTTATAATATTATGTGCATCGCTACAGAAATTCTTACGACATAGATGATATGAATATTCAAAATGTTTGTAAATAATATGTAAAATGTGCTCTTATGAAAATTAGATTGAACTTATGAACTATTCGTGAGAGTGAATCACATGAAATTTCACCTCGCCCCAAGGAATGTCATAGTAACTGCTAACTCGGTCAATCACGTCATTATAAAGCTTGTACAATTTTTGTAAAAGATTAAGTTCCTTTCTGATTTGCGATAGTTCCGGATAATCGGTAATAGGCAAACCAAACAATTCTTCACCACTTTGATAAGTAAGTAGCTTGCGCCACATACCGTCGAATCGATTTTGGAAAAGTATTTGTCTGTCAGAGGCTTCGCGGGGCGTCAATCCTGGCTGCATTGGTCCAGATAAGCGATATTCTTCGCAGTAGTCTCCATTATCTGTACGGAATTTGTCAAGATTGTTACGCAACTCTTCCTCGAATTGCGGTTGAAGGGCTAGAAGCTGCACGTGAATGTCTAAGGCTCGTGCTTGCAATTGCTGCCAAGTGTACCTATAGCAAATACCGTTAATCGTGATAATACCTATCAGGTTAAAGGAAAAATTTTCAAAACTAGTTACCTAAGATTATCTACTTGTTCAAGACATTCACGATCTACGGGGACTTCGTATCTAGTTACAATATTGAAAGCTTCTTCAATGGGATCAATTCTCAGTTCCATGTCAACTTCTTGCTCTCGAATTTTTCTCAATGTATCCATAATCAAACGGACATCGTCGAGGTCACGAATTTGCCTGTCTAATTTTCTATCCATTTCGTTCATTACAGCATACACGTATTCCATTTCTCTTCTGTATTTCTTTTTAATTGCTTGCCCAATTTTATGTGTAGAGTCTAAAAAATGATCAGGAACAGAATATAGTATAAAAGTTCTCTACTTTCATCAAGAAATATAATTTTTACCCACTTTTTATCTCAGTGAGTAAAGCATATTTCAACTTTTCAGTCGAAACGGCAATAGAAGATCCAAATACTATCAAATCAGGCTCTGTAGCTAATTTGTCTTCAAGCTCTCCATGTTTTCTCAAAGTGCTTTCGAATTCTGTTAACGATATCTGCAAAAGCTCTCGCATACTCTTTTCACTTTTCCAAAGAAAGTTATATGGTTTCCACCGATTCAAGAAGTCTGCCAAATCCTAGAGAAATAAAACATAGCATTTATGACTTGAAATTTGTGAAGTACTTCCTTAATATAACATGGTTTTCTTAATGATTACTTGTCGAAGTTCTTGAGTACAAGTGCTTAACATTGAAAACATTTTGACGATTTCTTTGTTTTCCATAATTACAGAGTGGAAATTGCGCTTTTGAATTGGAAACGATGGCTTCTCTTCAGATACAATTTTGTATAACCTTCTTCGACGCATTTTTGCATCTTCCTGACTTTCCAGATTTCGTTTTTCATCTTGAGCTTTGTTAACTACATCCAATAAATTTCTTTTAGGAGCCCAGGGTAATGAGCGCCAAGAGGGCTTCAACGATAAATAACGTTACAATATTATTTTTCGTGAAATCTTATTTATAACGATTTACTCAGTAAATGCTGACTACCTTGTCATTTTTATCTTTACGACTAGCGTCCCACTGAGCAACGCCTTTGGCAACTCCGGCAATAGTCTTTCCAATAATCATTAAAGCTTCTTGGACATCATCAAGGCTAGGTTTGACTAATACTGACGGTATCATGAGGGTAGCATTCAATAGAAATACAGGACATGATACATCGTCTATGAGAATGGATTAAAGTAAAAAAAGATTAAATAAGTCATGATCTATCTCATGAATTGCCAGATGGTTACCTTCATCGATTTCTCGAGAGAATCGTCGTCTTATCAAATCAAGTGAGGTTTTTGTGACTTTTATTAATACGTCGACAACTTTTCTTGAATAATAGCTTCTCATTTCAGAGACGGCATTTCTCACCATTTCCTGCATTCCTTTAGAAAGGCTTCCTTCTGGCGTAGCTAAAAGTTGATGCGGATCATCGAAGTATGCCCACACAATAGACCAATCCTGTTGTTGTTGTTGCGATACTTCACTTGATTCTTGTCCAGTTACATCTATTAAGAGCAAACAGATAAAATGATGTGATAACTTGAAATCGATTTATCTTCTGGTAATACTAAAAGTTGGTATATTTTTTACCTTCATCGAGGAAGCTAAATTGATCAGTGTCGAGGATACCTTTGAAATTTTCCGCGGCATTTTTTACGAGTTCAAGAACTTCCTCTACTGCTTCCTCCACCATCAGGCTCTTTCTATGCAAATCTACGGCAGCAGTTCTACACGCTTCTTCGGTTTTCTCCAAAAAACCCTCAACACTCCAAGGCTCAGCCTCTGGTAAAGCGTGAAGTGTTGTCTTCTGCATACTTGCTAATACTTGGAGAATTCTAAGTCAACATATTATCGAAATTTTGTTTAATCGAAACTAATTTTATGAGCCTACTAAAAATTTTTTACTGACCGGTTAGTGTAAACGTCATGCACTCTGGTTATTAAAATATTAAAGGTTTTTATTTGCTCATGAGTATTTTGGCAAAAATCTTTCCAGTCAGGTTTTATCCACGTAAGTGAAACCAATGCAGGTTTGAATAACGAAGCAACTCGCACTAGATGAGGCAACAACAGAGGTCGTACTTCCAATTTTACACGCCTTGCTGTTTGGACAAAGTCTTCTATAACCAATTGTAATGAATCTTTAACTAAAGTAAAGTGTTCCTTTTTGGCTAGTATTGTTTTAGCAACTATCGGTATTTCTAGTTCTAGTTTTGCTAAACAATCAGCTTCGCGCAATAGAAGTACTATGCGCTTTTGCAAGTTCACTTTTATCTTTCTGTTCGATTCTGCTATCGTTAGTAAATTCCTGAAATTCCTTTTTATTAGTTTCTATTATATTTAAAGAGTTATTCTATGAAGTCTTTTATCATAAGCCATTTCATTGGAACCTACTTTTTCAAACAGTCTTCGACAACCCAAGAATTCTGATGTGTCCAGACTTCAACAATATCACCTTGATATTGAATAATCACAGTTATTGCATGATTATATCTTTTCACCAAATCGACAGTTGCAGGTAATGTCTTTAATATGGGATGATTTGAAACTGAAGTCGCCAATTCATCTAAATGTATTCTGTAAAAAAACAATTTTTTTTTTAATTTATTCATTTTTATACTTTCAAAATGCAAGAGACTTTTAATTATGGCTCTTGTCATATGTACATACTTTAATGATTTAGTCCAACTTAATCTTCCTGCAATCGGCGGCAAGTGTCTGGGCAAAGGAGGATCATCTCTTTGCTTTTTAAATAATCTCAGCGTGCGATCTATTTCCTTGTCACAGTATTTCACGACTAAATTATATTTTTCGTCCAATTTCGTCAAAGGAATTTTCTCGTTAACCTGATGAAAGTTGGCAACAAAAGTCTTGTTTATACATTAAGAGATTTCTTTTATAAGTAATTAAGGAACTTCAATTTGAGACGTATTATCGTTTTGGATTTCACTGTGTAATTAATACCTACAAGAAGGTAGTGGGAACCGATTGAAAAAAAAAAAACTGTTACTCAGTCGATTTTATAGAGAATAAGATTAAAAAATAGTAATATTAATTACATAGAGGCACATTGCGGTTTCGTATACCAGGCGTTTCAACAGTAAACAATTTCTTAAATACCTACTACAGAATAATACAAGGACTTATGAACAAATTTACGAACATTACTATACTGGGTGTGGTTAATAAAAAAACATAAGAGTGAAGTTCTATATAAGGTTGATTGTATAGCAACTATGATAACTAACATAATAGACTATGTGAACATAAGCTTAGTATATGTAATAATGATACACGTTTAGCTGTAGTTGAACACGTTACAACTTACAATCATTTTATAAGCTTTGATAAAGCTATAATTTCAGATACCGCAAAATCAAAGAAAGAGCGTGAATTTGCAGAAATGTTACATACTTACAATACACATAATAATATGAATAAGCAGTCCGATTCAATAAAACTTGAATAGTTTTATGAATATACTGCAGATATTATTAGATTATTTCTACATAATGAATACAAGTCGAGAAAACAATAGCAAAAACTATGTTCGTACACGTATCCAGATGCACGAGATGTCAAATACAGTTTAATATTGACATACGCTTCCTCTTAAATCTGACTGGTTTTAAAATTATAGCTCGACTTATTGACAGTATTGTTGATATATATTTCATATAAAATTTTGTATTTTTACCACTATTCCTGATGACGGGAATGTTTTTTATTCCCAAAAGGTTGACAAAATAGCATGGCTAAAGACTACTCAAACGTGCATGGATGGTAAATTTTTTTTCAACCGGATTTCACCGCCTTCTTGTAGAAATTAAGGAGCTTACCTTTTCAAAACGAGTTAAGAAACGAATTCCTTGTGGCGTTTCCCATACGTCCACATAATTTTTCTCAATGGTATTGCCAATATTTTTCTTTAAGGCATCAATCCTTGACATGAAAACATCGTAATCTCGATCAAAGTCAGCATTGCGAGGATCTAAATAGTCATATCCTTTGCTTGTAGCGAGTTTCTTTGCTTCCTCGAACGTTTTGATTGTTTCGTCAAGAGCTTCACAGTCAATCGATCATAAAAAACATGATTATTGGCTTCTATAAAAAATAAAATTTTAAGGGAAGTTGATTTGCGTACCTTCTCCCAAAAGTAAGCCTTCCATTCTCCTTTCAAACAGTTTCTGATAATCTTCTATCAAATCGAACATTGTTAATATTTTGCGTATTCTTGCGCAAAATGAATCAAATCGACCGAATACGTGCGTTTCTGAAAATGAAAATTCTTCTTCTGTAATAGCAGGAGAACAGCGAACCAACCGATAAGTTTCTCTGTAGGCCCTGAGAAATATGCATTATTATTGTTGAGTGATGGTAGTAGAGGTAGCCTGCTGAGTATTAGTATGATGTTCATCTATTAGTAAATAAAGTATTTTACTTGTTGAGTTTGAGACAATGTTTGAGTTTTTGCCTAGCGACTGATCGATCTTGTCCCCAGACGGTTTCACGTCCGCGCATAGTTACGTAATCTCTGCAGGCTGCTATCATTTGATTAGTGATTTTTACCATGAGAGAACTTGTCCTTTCCGAAGTGTTGTAATATCTAGAGACACTGTAAATTAACCTAACAGTTTGCAACAGAGATACCAGAGAGTCTCGCATCCTAACCTGCAGTGTCGACAAAAGTAAAGATTAAAGTGACCACCGTAAACTGAAATCATGCAATAAAAAGAAGCACCCACTGGATTATCTAAATAGAGACAGTGGCAGCACTTTTCTAGTGCTTGAATAAATTTGGCGTTATCTTTGGCTTCATTGAAACAGTAAGTTACCTCTTCATTGACGTCATCCCAGTCTTTAAGTAATTTTGATTTGGAAACTTGTAGGCAGAGCAAAGACATTTTCACCTCATTGTCCTGTACAATAGGACAATGTTCTATTACACTCGAAGAGTAAGCAAACATTGACAAGTAAAAGTAACAAGGGTTGGTCGAGGTATCGAACCTGAAGTCTCGCCACAAGTTGACTGAATTGCGCACCCCTCCTCTTCCAGTACTCAAGCTCTTGCTGTGGTCCCGAGCTGTCGTTTTCCCTTCTAACTTGCTTACTTTCTAGCATAAAGTCCTTGAGTTTTTTTATCCAAGCACGCACGCGCTTCTCCACAGTCTCGACATTACCGATCTTTGCTACGTAACTTCTTGCAGCTTCAGCATTGTGCACCTCTTCCATCAGCACCTGACCATCGTCGAATATGCTGTCGTCGTGTGCCACCTCCTCGCAAACTAAGCACGACTGCTAATATTATGATAGTAATCGTATCTTGGGTAGCTTATAGGAGGCGTCAACTGACCTTTGAGCGCACTGCAGAATGATCTCAATCCTGGTAGGAGGATGCTCTTGATCATTGGACAGTCGTCTTCGTCTTCGGCACCAGGATGGGCAAGAGCATCCATAAACACTCTCTCGATGACGCGCTGGATGTAAGGTATGATGCCAACCTTTGTCGCGTCGATCACACCGGTATACAGATCTTTTTGAAAACCTTCCTCTGGCAACTGCTTCGAAATGTTGATCCTGCACGACCACAGCGACATTAGCAGTTGGTGTCATCGGTGTGATAATCAGCTTTCGCGGCAATTACCGAAACATGTAGATGCAGATTCCCGTGCAGGCCATCTGCCAACCATCGGTGAGAAACAATTTTTTCTTTGGTGGTTCCTTCGGTTCTTTGACTTCCTTGACCTTGGTCACGGCTGCGTTTGCTTGGACTCGCGCATTAGTTGCTTTCGTAGGCCCCTGTCGACAATGACACTTGGCAATTGGCAAGAACAGCGTCAACCGAACAAGCGATGCGTAGATCTATACTCAACTATTTCGGTAGATCGTTGTATTTCAGGCTCCTCCATCTCCTGATAAAACCACATTAGGGTGGCCTTCATGTGTGGCAAAAACAATTGATTAATCTCGTCGAGCATGTCACCCTCGAATACGTGATCCATGACTTGGTGTCTAGGCAAGCCCGTTGCATCCATCAAAAGTTGGAAAGCAAATTCCAGCCGCGGATCCATCTCCCCTCGTCTTGCTTTGCGCTCACATTCTTCTCGCCTCCTCTGCAAAGCGCAACTCATTCTTGTCAAATTATCGATTATATCTGAAAAATGCTATAATGCTATAAATAGCGCAATCTCAAGTTAAATCCTGCTTGTTCTTTCGAAAAAACTATTAAGCTAGTGAGTTGAAATTTGTATGGCTTCCTAGGCGCTTTAATTATGTAAGTTTGGTCCCTGATTGCAAAGACATTATTTTCGCCAGCTTGCTCAATGAATTATATTTATATAGAGGTAACAGTTAGGGAGAAAGATGTAGTTATTTAGTTTGCAAGATAAACATGGATAAGATTTGACTGTAATACGATAAGTGATAAACCTGGAGAACGTCTCCTGTTTGCTCTTCATCGCTGGCCTCCTCTGAATTTTCGGATCTTTGATGGACAATTTTCGGGCCGTGAACGAACATGATTTCAACGGGATTTGTCGATCAAGTGAAAAATGAACTGACAAAACGAAGAGACAGGCATTTTCACGGAGTTGCTCAGTGCTGAGCCGTTGGAACGTTACTATGCTCGGCCAAACTGTTGAGAAAACATTGCAAAGCGAACAAGCGAGAAGAGAAGGGCAGAGAAGCCGAATAGTACGTGAGAAAGCGAGCGAGGGCGAGAAATAGAGGAGAGAAAGCGAATTTTCACAGGTAAGCAGCGTTGCGGCGAGAAAGAGATAGCTAGAGCGAGTCCGTGACTGGCACCGGCATCCGACGCCTCGCAACTTTGCTTAGCAGCCGATAAATACCGAACAATCGATATTTTCGAATTGAACGCAGAATCGCATGCGAATGAGACACACACCAGTCGAGAAGCTGCTGGCTCGCGTAACTGCCGAAATACCTTTGCCCGATTAGCGACTATCTTTGCGATTGCAATAGCGCGGCAAAGTCCATTTATCGTGGAGTCGGTCAAACGTGAAAACGTCATTGGATTCGAGCAGCGATTCGAGGGCTTTCTTACTTTAGCCTCCTCTTGAGTTTCCTGCATAATGCCTGAAAGCACACTCGGTCTCAGCAGCGATGTCACCGTTGAGGACTAACTTGCTTGCAGATCCACGCACTCCCGCAGTCTGACTGCACACGATGCTAAATTAAGTTTCAAATGGCTAGGCTGCACAGTCCTCCAACTTTCAACGATCTCCTTCTTTGTCATTCCGCTTTGGCTCTCATTCGTTCCTTGCCGTTCCTTTCGCGAGCTTTTAGTGAGCTGCACTCGATTGTCGTTTAGCTTAATGCACGATACTGTGTAGTGTCACGGTAGGTTCTCGACCTTTTTGCTCGAGCTATTTTTATGTTACCTCCGTAGTACGTCTTCGCTATGTTTTCATCTTCTTTTTAGTGGCTTACCTGTGCGTATTATTATGTTGTCATTACCATGTAGACTTACCTCCCCAACCACTTTAGGTATGATTGACTTATAAATTACAAATGCTAATTATCATTCAAATATTTTATTTTCTTAAAAAGACTTGCATAAAACTTGGATGATAACACTCGGAATACCAAAACTTGGCAAGCGTTCAAAACTTTTTTTACGGCCGGGATTGCTCAGACGATATGTCTGTGCGTTGAGCGAGCATTAAATCACATTCTAGTTGGATACGTGCATAAGCTTCAATACGGCAATTATCTTGGTTTCTTCAAGTATGCTTCGTTCATCTCTTTATTACGTCTATTTTATCATAATTTATCAATATTTACTTTGGTACAAGTCAAATGTCAAATCATCATTATTGTCATTCTTATTTTTACTGCAAGAATTACATTCTTTCAATCGAATAGTACTAAATTGCTCTATCAATGTCTTTGAGATGACTGATTTTATGAAGAAATTTCTCTTGTAAAATAATTTTTAATTAATTGTTCGAGTTACATACATAAGGTGAGCATTACTGTATCGTTAAAAACTTGGAAAAATAACAAGGCGTACCGTTGGATTTTATTTCATAAAAAGTTCAGGTAAGAATAATTACACAATTTTTATATCGTAGTGAGAAATTGTATTATCTATGTACATGCAATATCATGCTACTCTAAGCTCTAAGACAATAATAGTTGTTTGTGTAATACAATATCTTGATCGTTATCATCGAACAAATTTATCCAATTCATCTTATATCTATATTTCTGTTGTAACCGTTGACACTTCCACTCATTTCTTTTCGATTGTAATAGTCGCTTAAATGCAAACATGATGTTTGTACATATCCTCTAAAGTTAACAATAGTGACTCTTAAAAATTATTTTTAAGGCTACAAAGCAGATCTTTGGATTCAAGATTGAATGATTTCAAGTGCAAATACGCATTTATTAAATTTATAAGTATTTTGGCACCGTTGCATATGAAAAATCGATATAACCATTCTTCCCCTGATAAACGCCTCATGTATTATTTATTTTTATAAAAAAACTCATTTTTATTTCAATAGAATAGATGATTCCAGTATTATTAATTCGTTTATATTAATTATTGCATAGAATAATAAATATTTCAATGAACCGATTAAAATCTTATTTCATACTACAGTGCAATCGTTGTTTAATAACAAAAAGCTGAAGAAAATGCGCCACAAGCGACCATCTGTCTATAAATGGTTACTAATTTAATAGATATCAAATCCAATTGTCTAATTGTCTATAAAAATTTAGCTGAAAATTTTTTTCTCCTTCTGCTATTTAATTAAATCTACATGTATGAATTGATTTATTTTAAGAAAAACGATTCATTTTTTATATAGGTATAACAGTTATAGATTTATAACATTTTCATCAATTTTAGTCACGTAGTTTTCGAGTTAAGTCTCACTTATAAATATTTTTCTGTTTAAATTAAATTTCATCGCATAATATAATTGAAAAATTAAAATTAATTTGATTCTTTGTAAGAATATGAAATTTGAGTAAAGTAGCAGTAGTGTTCTGATGATGTTTCTCAATAAAAAGAGAATTGAACCAATTTCGTCTTTTATTTAATCAAATACTTCATATTAGCAGAGCTGAGTAGTTATTTAAAATGACCTGAATATACATCTTCTTAGCAAACTTTCTATGTAAGTGCGCTTCTGTTATAAACCAAAAAGTTGAGTGTGTGTGTGTGTGTATATATATACACGCGATTAAGATTTTTGTATCAGTAGAAATATACGGGATCATTGAAAAATTTATTCCAATGGTACTTATGCGATTTATAAAAATAGAACCGCGAAATTTGATTTAATTTCCGTATACAACGATATACATAGAATAAATAATACCAATGGAGACTACACTTGGTTTACCTTGGATATGAAATATTTGATATGTATAAATTATATACGAATAAGAAAAACTTTGATAGTCGATTAACCTAAATTTACTAAAAGTTTGTGTACATAATTTAAATAGTGCAAAATAGATCATAGTTAATATTTCCAATCACACGATTGAGTATTCTATAAGATTGAACATTTTTTAAAAAATATTTCTCTCTATTTTATATAAATTTGTTAACAAAAATAAATATTTTACTCTAAACATTTTACATATAAGTTCAATGCGATTAAATAAAATGCATATTTTCAGAAGCTTTTACGAATAGACAAGACCATATCATATTATATAGTTTTACATCTTAAACAAAAACTTAGCTCTCCAAGTTTATTTTATTTCATAATATTTTATTTATGTAGTAATTATAATTTAGATTATAAATATTCATGAGCACTCGTCAGTAATGAAAACCATAAAAATGTCGAAATCTTTGTTGGAAAATAAAATTAGTAATATTTATGATTACAAATATCGAGAATTATTTGTTTTATTTAGTGTATTTAACTAAAGTGGTTAGAAAAAATTAGTTGTTATGTTTTAAGATATCTAAGCTACCTGCTTTGGCTGTTTTTTAAAATATATTTTATAATTACACAATTCAGTATTCATCACTGCATAGTTTCATAGAAGTTTGAAATTGATTATCTTGAATATAATTTTCCGAGTATCACCTCTATTTTTAAGAATCTTGCAGATACAAAGTGAGGTGCTTTCTTTTTAAGCATAAATAAAGAATATGACTTTCTCCTTCTGTGACATCAATTATAATATTCGCTTTACTGAATATATGTATCTTTCCAATCAGAGATTAATGATATTTCCTGTCAGACATGAATATTAAAGCGACTAAGATAATATATTTATCAAAATGAAATGAACATGAAAGCTCTACAATGTGAATGAATATATTTTCATTTAGCAATTACACCTCTGAAATGTATCTTTCGTTTTTCGCATTCATTGTAATATTATATCCATTAGTTTAATAATTCACTTATTCTACACTCTCGTTTCACTTTTTGCTCCGTATGTTTTACTTTAACATGCTACTCTACTGTTAGTCTATTTTTTAAATTTATTAACAGCACACTCACAGTGAGGTACGTTATAAAACTAGTAAAAAACTAGCAACTAGGTACAAAAAGGTATTTTTTAAATACTTTTATTCATTCAATAAGAAATATACCAAAATCTCTAAAACCCAAGATATTCTGATTTTCTACATTCACAACTAATCTTTTTGCTTCTTTCATTCGCTCTGCTTCGCTTTTTTGTATGTTTATTTCATGTGATGTCATTTTGCATTTTCCGCTTAAATTTATAATTTTTTCTTCAACGAACAACTCTCGTTATTTTACGTTGATATTGACTTTGAATACTTGATTAAAGTAATCCGTAAAGTATTTTTTATAGTTATTAGCTGTAACTTTTTAAATTTTCAGTTAAACGTAAAGCTTATACAATTTATGTATATATAAAGTTGAAGTTGTAGATAATTTTCGAAAATACTTGAAAACACTGTTTTTGAAGTAAACATTGAAATGTATTAGTTGTACTGTATCTAAAGTAATTACAGTATAGTATTGAACTATCGATTTATAATATTAAATTTGTAGTTTCCAATGATTTGTCTATTTTCTGAAAATTTTTTTATATATGTAATCAAATTGTCTCGACATATGTTCGTAAAACCTTCGTAAAACTTGTTTTAATATTATGAAAATAATTATGAGATGATTGAAAATGCAGAATATGGCATAAAAATGTTATTTGAAGTGCAATAATATTATATATAAGTACTGTAATTTTTACGAATTGAAAATATAATTATTATGATAATGATAGCAGATTGGCAAAAAAATGTCATAATGAGAACTATTTAATTTTTAACTGAATGCAATTCAACAAATTCTGATCCCATTTGTTTTAATGTTATTAAGTAAGTATATACAGGAACGTTAATTTGTAAAAGTGTTTATTGATTCTACATGATTTATTTTATAGATTCAACAATATAATGATTAACAATGAATAGAAGACTGTACAGTAATAAAAAATGTAACGATCTGCAAATTTTTATTGATATTCGAGAAGTTATAACTTCACAAGCTCTTAAATTCGTCTTGCATTTTCATGCTACACACAGTGTTTTAGTTTATTACGTGTTTCAAGCTTTATTTGCAAATGGTATCAGCAGTTCGAAAAACGTATACGCACATAGATGAATCGTAGTGTTCAGTGACCCTTGAAAAACTTTCTTTGTTATCGAATGGATCAACAGCTTTCTACGAGAAATAGAAGCCCAGTCGTCCTATAAGTGAAAATAAAGTAAGTGTAGATTTTTTCATGAGCTTTCCTAAAGTCGACTCATAATTTTCTGTATGCATTTATATTTCATTTACTGATATTAATTGACTACAATGCTTTTGTCAATATTATTTACTTTGTACACTTCCTGCAACAGCAATTCTTTATTTTGTCGAACTTGAAATGAACAATAGTGATTTTAGGAGCAACTCCATTGAAATAATTTTCATTTTTCGTTTGTAAATAATTTTGACTCGTACCTCCTTTGAGTACTCGGTTGAATTTCACGATTAGTAGTCGATTTTTCAATTTGCTTGAAAGGTAACAACAGCTGATATAAGAGTTTCGTTTAATTTTACACCTTTCATCATAGATGAATGAAAGTTCTGCTACAATCACTTTACAACATCCTTAGATTTTTGTATCGGGATTATCCAGCAAATTGTTTCATTTCATTCGTAATTAGCGACTCCCAGTTACCGAGCGAAGCGAGACGATAAGAGACGGAGCGAAATCGATTTAACCGTAGCCCTGTCGTTCTTAAAATAACAGTAGAGTTGACAGGTGAGATTAGTAAAAATAATCACTTTTTTCATTTGGTTTTCTTCCATCAGTTTTTTCCATGATGTATTTGTATTTGCGTTGTCTTACAGATTACATCGATTTTGTCCTTCGGTATTCGAAGTGGTACATCTTATAATTCGTAAGAAACTTCACTGCCTTTCCGTTATCTTAGACGTTTGTTTAATTGCTTTGCATCGAGGAAAAGAAACTTTCGTGCTCCAGTTCGTTCAAGAAAAGCCAGTTCATTCGATATATAGGAATAAAATTGATTTGTCAAGTAGTTTTACATGAGCTTTGCGCCAAATTGCAAATCAAGGTGTGCCTATAGCAGCAAAAACTATTAGGGACTTTGTTCAGTCGGCATTTGCATTGGCTAGAAGCGATTAACATCAGACGTTGCAAAAAATACAAAGTACAATACGAACGTACAAAGTTGATCAGCCGGCGCTATTTGAAAAAATATGCACGGCATTGAGCAACGTTTCTTTGTGCAATAAAAATACACAAAATAATGCAGTCAAATGCGAGATCTTGACGGTAAATATAAAAAAGTTTGTTGAGTGCGACAAGTGTGTGTTGAAGCACACAGACGAAGGTCAATTAATCAGCGAAAAATCGAGAATGCTTTGTTATTGGCGTTGACAACTTTGATGCTTAGCTTACTTGTTGCTAAAAAGTTTGATTAGCTTACGAAAATTCGATTCGAATGGCGCCTGTATCGCGTGGCGGCAGCTCTTTAGCAATATAACTATCGATTTAGTTGTATTTTGTCGTTTCGAGATCTCAGTTCTCCGCTCGCTTCTTCCGCTATAGCTATAATAAACGCGCGTCAGATGCTTGGATGAAAAACTCTATGCGTGTGTCTGCGTGCATATATATATACTTATATGGAACGCGTCTTGATGGTGGATCGAAGTTGAGCTTCGCAAGCCCCGGGGCCCCGGGGCGAGACGGCCGCCGCGCTGGTTCGCCTCAGCGGCTCTAGTCGTCGTCGTCGAGGCCGAGGAGCTCCGGCGGCAGCCTCCTGTGGCGGCAGCACAGCGTCAAGCAGAGGACGCGCGCCGCCAGACGGAATTGCGGGCTGAGCGTGCCGAGAATGATCGCCTTCCAGAAGCTGTTGGTGATGCCAAACCAGACGACGGCAAAGTGCAGGAAAGGCACCTGCGGCAGGACAGGGTTAGCGCGCGCGGTCTCGGGCGCCGTCATCGCGAGCGCTCACCTGCGGGGGGCCGTTAATCGAGGACCAGATCCTCAGCCCGGCGTACGGCGCCCAGGAGATCCAGAAGGCCATCACCAGGACGAAGGACATGATGTGGCTGGGATTGCTCAGGTTCTCGGACAGCGCGGTCGCGTACTCCTTGTCGTGTATGGGCACGCCCGATCGCAGCTTCCTCATCATGGAGAAGATGTAGGAGTACGTGTAGACGATGGTGATCACGGAGGGGCCGAGCACGAGGATCGACAGGGTGATGGTGTAGGCGGCCATGTTGCCCCAGTCGAGCATGCAGATGAAGGCCTCGCGATCGAAGATGGGCTTGTTGAAGCCGAGCAGCGGCGGGCAGCACATCATCGCCACGCTGATCCAGGTGAAGACCATCCAGCACTGGCAGCGCGTCTTGGTCTGCACGGTCTCGTAGCGCAGGGGCTTGCGGATCGCCAGGTAGCGGTCCACCGAGATCCACATGAAGGTGTACACCGAGACGGCCCACAGCGTGACCTCCAGGTAGCCGGCCAGCCGGCACACGATGTCCCCGTACACCCATCGGCGCGCGAGCGCCGGGTACACCGACAGCGGCACCACCAGCAGACCGCAGAGCAGGTCCGCCGTCGCCAGTGACAGCAAGTATATGTTTATCACCTCGCTCGGACCTTCGGATCAAGACGGACCTCGTTGGCGGCGGTCGGTGGCGGCGCTCGGTGGCGGCGCAAGGCTCGCTCGCTTACCCCGGAAGTTGAGATACGTAGCGATGATGAGCAGATTCGAGAGGATGATGGCAACGCCGACGACGAAGATGAAGCCCGCCTGCATGAGGGCCTCCAGCGAGGGCTCCTCCATGCCGCCGCCCCCTCGCGCTGCATCCCCTCGCGAGGCCCCCTCGCTTGGCTGGCCCGCACCCCTCGAGGCTCGCTCGGGCGCCGCTGCCTCGCTTCCTGCGCCGCCCGGTCCGCCGCCTCGCCTCGCCTCGCCTCGCCTCGGCTGCCTGTCTGCTTGTCTGCCTGCCTGCCTGCCTGCCTCCCTGCCTGCCTGCCTGCCTGCCTGCCTGCCTGCCTGCCTGCTTGCGCTGCCTTAGCGCCCGCCGGCGCCAAGTGTCGCTCGCACCGTCAGCTGCGTCCTTCCGCTGGGCGCAGCGCGCATCCCGATCGCGCTGCCGGTGCCGCCGGTGCTGGCCTCACGTCTGCATCTGCGAAGCAAAGACTCGATGGAGCCTACGCGCGCTCGGCCGGCCGCCCGTGCTGGCAGCGAGCGCGCGAAGCGCTCACGTCGCGTATCGACCGCCATTCATATTTCACGCCAGTCGATTCGGTGAATAGGCCGTGGGGTGCACCTGCGCCCACTCCTACGCGCGCCGCACAGGCCTTGCGCTAGTTTGGCCCGAGCGACGCGACGACCTCCCCTCCCGCCGGCCTCCGACGTCGTCCGGCCGACCAATTGCGCTTTCCGTCCGCGGAGCCGAGAGGCGCCCAGCAGCCCGGCGCGCACAGCCAAAGACGCTAGACCTGGACGCGAGCGCACTCGTGAATCGGACGAAGGGCAGAGTCGTCGACTGACTTTGGAAGAGAGCTCGCGCTCGGGTACGAAGCCTTTGCCGGCGCGAGTAGCGTGCAGTGGCTTCCGAGTGTCGACAGCACGTGTTAATAGCACGAGCAACTGGCTGGTTTTCGCGATATCGATTGGCAGCTGCTTCGCGGAACGGTCGATCGATGCGAGACGGCTAATGCCTGACTAATGTGGCCTCTTACTACTACTACTCGAGGTGTCGCAGCAGGCGCAAGAGCGCGAGAGACCAGTGCAAGCCGCGTACTTACTTACGAGCGCGGGTGGACCGATTCGAGGAAGTGGATGTCAGGGGCTCCAGTCCAAGGAGTCGTAGGAATCAGGCCACGTCCAAGGAAGTCTGCTCGAAGGTGGAAAATAATTGAAGCGACCGCATCCTGACTCGCGTCGGCGTAGCTGTCCGTCGAATGCGCGAGCTTCCGGTGGCTTCCGGGCCTGCCGCTGTGGAACGCGACTGATTTCGTCGGACGATCGCTCGCCTAATCTACCCGACCTGTTCGAGACTCGATCACGGATCACACCTATCGACGGAAACTTGGCTCGATTAACGCGTTTCCCATGCGCGCCTGCTTTCTACTGGGCTTCGCCAGAAAGCTCGGAGATTCGATCGATACGGCCTGAAAAATGCAGTTGCACGCTCGTTACGACAGCTCTACGACGGTTACGACAGGAAGGAGAGTCGAGAGTTCGTTTAGCCAACAACGATTGCGGGCCGCGGGCAGAGCCGATCGCCAATCGTTCGTCAGCGACAGCGTCTGGCATCTGGCAAATGTGAATTGCCGTGGCAACTTCGAGGACGAGCGACCGATAAGCCAGGCTTTCGCGTTGCTGGATAATGCAGCCACTTGTGTCAGTTCGCTGGCACAGATTTCAGCGAGCCAGAAGACAAGAGAAGAAAAATGCACTGGTACTATTGCGGATGCTCGCTCAGCATCGGCTAGCTTGCAGCTCGTACGCGCTTGCACGCGAGTGCAGTAAAGTATAAAAAGAAAGGTCAAAGGAAAATATCGGCCGTTTCCACGCGACACGTTCTGCCTTCTAAAAATATGCGCTCCACGTACGGCTACCTGTTCCCGTCTTCCCGTGCTCCCGATTCATATGCCACAACCCCCCGTGCCGTCGGTCTGTCTGCGCTCGAGCCCTGCGACGAACGCAGAACCGATGCACGCGGCCATTACGGGCAGCACGCCGTTATAGTTATCGCGCATTACGCCTTCGTCGATTCCTTCGAGCGACAATTCGACGACGACGACGACGACGACGACGACGACGACGACGACGACGACGACGACGACGACGACGACGACGACGACGACGACGACGACGACGACGACGACGACGACGACGACGACGACGACGACGACGACGACGACGACGACGACGACGACGACGACGACGACGACGACGACGACGACGACGACGACGACGACGACGACGACGACGACGACGACGACGACGACGACGACGACGACGACGACGACGACGACGACGACGACGACGACGACGACGACGACGACGACGACGACGACGACGACGACGACGACGACGACGACGACGACGACGACGACGACGACGACGACGACGACTCTAAGCCGCCTGCGTTTTCATCTTGGAGCTTTGATCGAGCGCACGTTTGCACAGCTATTGCCGCGGCAAAGCCACCGCTGATAACAGTCACTGTCGTCGCAGCCGCAATTCCTATTTGTAAGCAGTGCCGCGCACAACTATACTCTCCGAACGATTAACAAGTTGTGCAAACGATACGGGCCTCGCCCGAAGATCAGCCAGCGACGAGCCAATTGCCGATACGCTCGTTGTCAGACGTTTTCGGTGATGATGCCATCGACAGGTGGACACGAGTTGCGATTTGGAATGCGTTCCACAGTTAATCAAGCAGTTGCAAACAAGTAAGCGAGGTGCCAGAGCGAGCGGCAGATGTAGCCCGTACAAGTGTGAGCGACGGTAGAAGCTGCACGCGAACAGGCGACGTAGGCGAGACGAAGTGAATGTAAATGGATTCGCGGAGGCTGCGTCGGATAGTGCGGCGAGTTGGCTGTTGCGAATGATTGCCGTTGGAAAATTCTGAGAGCACAACGACCCCGCGCACTCAGTCGAAGCCTCGAACATGCTTGAAAATTGCAATTGCTCTCAAGCGATGAATATTCAAGGAGCCGTAAGCAAGCGCGAGGGGGAGGGGGAGGCGCTGCTGGCGGCAGTCCGTGCATGCAGGCAGGCAGGCAGGCAGGCAGGCAGGCACAGGCAGGCAGGCGGACAGGTGGGCTTCAACTCGCGCGCTCTCCTTCTCGATTGCGCCGAAGAGAAAGAGAGAGAGCCCGCGGCTGGGAAGGACGGGCAGCGTGCTCGAGGGCTGCTTTGCCTCACCTTGTGCTGGCTCTCATCGTGGCCTGGCAGCCTCGGCGCGGCCTCCTCGCGGCAGCTGCTGCTGTCGCCGCCGCCTCCGCTTCGGCTAGTGTGTTGCCGCTGGCTGTGGCGCGGGCCTCTCGAGTGAGCACGAGCGTGCCGTACTGTCGCGGACAGTCGGGGAGCTTCGGACAGAGCGCGAGAGAGGACGGGAGAGCGAGGGGAGAACGAGGGGAGAGCGAGAGAGAGCGAGAGAGGACGAGAGAGAGAGAGAGAGAGAGAGAGAGAGAGAGAGAGAGAGAGAGAAAGAGAGAGAGAGAGACAGGCGAGAGCGCGAGCGAGAGGAAGAAACACAGCGGAGAGACACGCGAGGCTCGCGAGACACGACACGACGGACTGGAGCTGGCGGCGAGCGCGGGCTCCCGGCTGACCAGGCGGGGGCTTTACTACTGAGCCCTCACTCGCCCTCTTTCTCTCTCGCGCGCTCTCTCCCTTTCCCTCCCTCGGCGTTGCTTTCCAGCGCGCGCGCAAGCCGAGCTTCGTTCCCGTGCAGACGACGCGTGTACGTACGTGCGCGGCTGCACTCACACAGGCGTGCAGCTCGGTGCAGCCCGGGCTGCTCGTCGATAGCCCGCTCGAGGGCGCCTGCGCCGCCAGCACCCGCCGACCTCTCCCTCCGCCGGCCCCCTCCCGCGCTACACCTGTCGCTACCTCGGTGTCGCTGTCGCTGTCGCTGTCGCTGTCGCTGTCGCCGCCGCCGCTTCCCCTCCGAGCCTCCAGCAGCATATCTACCAGCATTCGGCCAGTGGCGCTCGGCGGCGGCCACGCGTCCTACCCCGTTACTCGACTTTTGGCCCTTGCTTTCGCGAGCGCCTCTGGTCATTGCAATTATTTGGCACGCGTTGCCGCTCGTTCCAGCGGACAAATGCCGAATCCGAGCTCCTTAAAGTACTCGAAAAGAGCAGCTTATCGCCGAGCCGTCGCTAGTGGACTTGTGCGCAACGACAACGACACTGGCCGCTTTATTTCTGATAGTGGCAATGTCTTCAAGACAAATAAACAACAGTTTTAGCGCTTGGCTATAAAGATCAATGCTACGCTAAATATTGATATTTACGTACACCACGAGATAAATATAGACACGGTGTGGAAAGACTTTCCAAAAGCCGCTTGAATTATTGACAAAGATACTAAGAGAAGAGAGAAAAAGTGGAAGAGAGCAAAAGAGCATCTCGAGATGATATTTTTATTTGAGTTGCGCCCAATCGGTCAAGGTGACTGCGATCCCGCTCGACTGCCGTATTAATACGAACGATTCAGCCAACGCACGGCATTTTTTCTCGAGCTGTTTTGCCGAGCTTCGCTCTGACCGAACCGATTCGATTGCAATCGAGCTCGGCAGGAATAAATAAGCGCGTTGGAGCCGCGACTCGGCAGTCGACGAGGCTCTGATTCTGACTGATATGCGCTCAGACCGAACTGCACAAGTGAACGAGAACGAGGAAAGAGAGCTGTCGATATAAGCTGTACTGGCGGCGCGCTGCGGTCTATCGGCTTACCGCTTACATTACAAGGGCTAATGCACAGCGTTGTTTGCTCGGCTTCCAGCCGAACTCGAGAAATCTTCTGCCGGTCGTGTCGTACGTCTGCGTGAATGACCAATGCCGGCAAACTCACTGTCACTTGTTACTCGGTCAATTTGTCTCGTTTACTTTGCAGCTGCCTTGGTTGGACCAAGGCTGAGCATTGAATTTGTTGAAACAGCAAGGCTAAGCAGAGCGAGTTTGCAACGAAGAAAGCTCCTCGCCAAAAATCAGCCGATAAACATCGTCCTTGTTCCCAGCTACAGTTCCACTTGCACTTGGACTTGCTTGCCAGCTATGAATCACTTGGAGCCAATCGCGATTATAAGTGCTCGAGTGCAGCTGCACTTCGGAACATGGCTCCGCTGGATGGATAACAGCGACTTCTGGCGACTTTTTCGCGGGCTCTATAGTCCTCGTCGGTTCGTCGCGCGTCGGTTCAACTTCAATTTCTAATCCGATATGTACGTCCTTTCCTAAAGGTTTCTTAGCACGGAGCTGCTAGCCGACTGTGCCGAAGAGGGCCAGCGTTTAGCTTTCAACTCTGCTCGTTACAGATCTTTTGTCCATGTTTCTCCTGCAGATAGTACGGAAACTAAAGTGGCCTAGAGAATGCAACTATTGGATCATTGGCTTAATTGCGGCTTTTGGCATGAGGAATCGAATCGAAGGCAGTTAAGAAAGCCTCACTTGACAATGGCTCCCCGTGCCAAAATCAATAGTACGCTCAAAGCCAATAGCTCAGGCGGCTCGACCTGCGACTGACTAGCCTTTTATACAGTGATTATACGTCCAAGATGTGTACGGCGCATAAGTAGTGGCTAAAGCTTGACTCTACGCCAGATGATAAGCGGCTTTTTCAGCGAGATCGTGATTAACGACGTTTGTTCAGCGGGCGTGCCCAAGATCTCCTCTTCGTCTCACTCCCATAGATCAATCTACTACACGCCAGTAGCATTACGTATACTCGTGTACGAATAGCGCTTCCATTCGATACCCAACCTCCAATTCAACAAAACTTTTGCTTGTCAGCCATTTTACTATGCCCTCTTATCGAAATAACAATCCCGGATACTCATTTTTCTTCTCCGCTACAGAACAATTTTTTCCTCTTACTTTTTATTCGATAAACCTTTTGTACTGCACTGCATCCACTCAAATCTAGCAACTTATTTCACAGTATAAGAATACAGTTTTTTTACGATCAGATTACTTGGAAATAATCGATTTGATGAAACAAGCTCCGGGGGTCAGACATGCACTCATTATGTATTTCCATTAAATTACAACCACACACTTAATAATTTTACAGTAACATATTTTTTATTAGTAAATAGCTTCGCATTAAAATGTCATAGCTTAGGGTTTTGAAAAGTTTTCAAGTTTCCAAGCGACTGTATGAAACTTTAGTGTAAAATAGTGTTTAATGACGACTATTGAAAAGTAACTTAAATTCAGTGACCAACGCGACGGGTGACAAGCAATTTAATCTTGAACTTGATTAGTCGGCATGTCAGCGTCGTAAATGGAAATTTGAACGAATTTCAGGCTGATTTACGGCAGCTACATTGCATACATAATAAAGAGTAGCGGCGTTAAATCGAAAATCCGACACTGGATTTGATAATGTAAGTCTGGTGTAGGTTCGCAATTACTGGCGTAGCCGGTTGGCCAGGAGAAAAACGACAGTAACTTGATGTCGCTGATCATACTAAATTGGACGTTCGATCATCGAGCTGCTTTGATTTGCAAGATCCCGTCAAGCATACATGATGTGAAATTGGAAGCGGCATTGATTGGAAAAAAGTTGAAACCTACTCGTAAAACGTAGACCTTTTACAAGAGATTTCGATGTCTGCTAATCCATAAGAGTGCTCATTATCTTTAACAAGAAAGCAAGCGTTATCACACTATCATTGGCGATCTTCATACACTTGTTATGTACCAAAATCTACTGATATGTTCGATACGATTAGTGTAATCATCACTCTAGTAGTTATGAGAGAAATCGCACGAGGAAAAAACTTGCACTCGCGTAATGCGATTCCGGGAAGCTTTCGTGTTTTCGGATTTGCTATTATTGTCGAACGCTTGTAGTGGATTATTGCCAACAAAAGCGTCAAACACAGAGCTTGCAGGTTCGGAAAGAAAGTGGGTTTGGATGTGTATGGCACGAGCGCGGAACAAGGCCAAAGTTGTCGATGAGAAAAATCAACAGCGTGAGCTTTCTCTTTACGTGTCGCATACGTGCATTACGTGCAATGGGTGCATGGCACAGAAGCACATACAGTGCAAACTCCCTTTTAAATTTGGCACAGTTTGCTCGGCAGCGGCAGTCTGGTTTCGTCCGATATACGCTACACGCACGAGCGTGAAAATTGGTACATCACAGATACGAAAGTTACGCGCCAGGCCACTTCGCTGCGGCGGTCTTGACTGAACCGAGAGACCATTTTAGACGGGCATCCTTCGCAAAATCTAGCAGTGCGTTTTTTCATGGGCTACGTTGAAAGCTTGGCTACACCTGGTGCGCGCGATCGAGAGCTTCGTGCTTCTGTGGGGATCGGATTTTACAGCAGAACAGCAACAGGTAAATGGATAATCAGTCGGCCCACGCGTACGTCGACAGGATGAGTGAACAAGCGACAGCCGCGGCGAGTCGTCCTAGATCCTTCGAGCGCAATCTCCCAAAGTCTTGATTTTCTTGGCCGAACAGACAACAGCGAGCATCCGCTTATCAGCACGACCTCCTTTGGCTCTGCTATTTCTCCCTGAATTCCGGCCGGTGTTCTCCATCGACGTTCGCCGAGATGTTCGTCGAGCTAGGAAACCAGATCGTTCGGCGTTGCTTGGAGTTCGCAGCCTCGGTTGGTTGGATATAAACGGGCAGTGTGCCCGAGACCGTGAAAATGGCGTATCGATCTTGGGTGCTTGCCGAAAAGCAGGACGGATTGATGGAGTGCTCTACGCTGCAGCCGCCTCGACTTTGCGTCGCCAGAGAGCATTGCCAGTGGGCGTGACCTTCCACGGTGCAGTTGCAGTTCCAATCTGCGATTGCAGTTTAAAGTGGGTTGAGGCCTGCGATCGGACTTTAACTGGCTGTCGCACTTCCGTCGCACTTTTTGCGGCAAGACGTGTCGTTTCGCGCGAAGGCTCCTAGTCGAATTGCAAAAAGGGGCTGCCTCCCTTTCCCCGTCTCGACCGTTCGCTCGCTCGTTCTGTTTCGCAGTTCCGCAGCTTCGCCGACGCAATGCAACACAGATAACACTATTGCGCACTTGGCGATAGCATTTGTTCGAAAAGCCTTCTTTATTCATTGCTATCTATCAAACACTACTTCACAGGTTTAGGTTTCTAGTACGCAGTCGCGAAGGGGTTTAGCTCGAGTGCAGCTTGAGCTCGGCTACAGAAACGACGTAAGCAATCGAAAGCTCGGAATAAAGCGATTTGGGGAAGCTCGCTAAGGTGGACGTCGTGCCAGCGGTAAGGCTGGAGCTTATTCGGAATGAAATAACAGTCGGCCTCCACGACGACTGGAATTTACGAGCCAACGACCGAGTGCTAATGAAGATCGCGCCCG